CATTTGACCCCAAGCCAATGGAGGGCCAGTGGAATGGAGCCGGCGCCCACACGAATTTCTCCACCAAGGCAATGCGCGCTGACGGAGGAATCAAGGCCATCGAGGCTGCCATAGAGAAGTTAAGCAAGCAGCACGAGCGCCACATCAAGGCGTACGACCCCAAGGAGGGCAAGGACAACGAACGGCGCCTGGTCGGCCGTCTGGAGACCTCCAGCATCGACAAATTTTCGTGGGGCGTGGCCAACCGGGCCGTCAGTGTGCGGGTGCCGCGAGGCGTTGCGACAGCTGGAAAGGGTTATTTCGAGGATCGTCGCCCCAGCTCGAACTGCGACCCGTACGCCGTGTGTGGCGCCCTGGTGCGCACTTGTCTGCTGAACGAGTAGTGAAGAGGGGGAGAGAGTGTGTAGGCTGCTGGTGGGCGTAAAATTTTCTTGTACATAACATATAATTGAACATTGGAGCAGACCGAGGCCGGCCCGTGTGGTTTGGCTGATAATTTGGCTAATTTTCGATTTTGAGCAAATAGCAAATATAATTTTGCTGGTGTGAATAAGACAAAAGCAGAGAGCGAATAGCTTGTGGTTAGCATTTAAGAAATGTTGGAGGAAGGTAAGCAGGAATCAACAAAAACTGAAAAGAAAATTGAACCTGAGAGTGAGCTACTGAAGAAAGCCCCATATTTAGAAAATATTCTGCCATTAATATTTTTACAAATTATGTATACATACTTTATTCTTGCTTTAAAGTTTAAACTTATTAATAAACTACTTTTAAAATTACGTTTATGCAGTACGTACAAATGTATGTATGTACAATACATATGTGGATTATAAACGAATGAAAAACAATTGGTTTTGAACAGATCCATGATGTTCTGTCCAGTATTATTTTAATTTTCAAGTTACATGCCAGTGTGTGTGCAATCTTTTAAATTCTTTATTTGTTGATTTGCCTGCCAGGAATTCCTTAATACACCTGCCCAAATGAAAATTGAAGAAATAAGTATCAGAAAATTAGACAAAATTAGATTGACTATTCACTTGCATATCTCTACATACATATGTATACATACATATGTATGTACATGCTTTTGTAAAAGCATATTTTATGCATAAATTAGTATTTTTTGTAGTATTTGTTGTTGAGTAGAACTTGTTGAATACAATGTTATAGAAAATATTATATACAATATCGTACCCAAGACATTTCAGACTTGTCGATCCTCATCGCTTGCATTTTACAACATTCTCTATGTATTTATGTATATCTAGTAAAAGCAGAAGAATGGAAAATTTCAATGCAATTCAAATAAAAATTTCGAGTAAAAAGCACAAAGTTTTAAACAAAACACTCATTACTAAATGTCTAATTTATTTTCCTTCTATTTTGGCGAGCTTTCAAAAACGAAACGCTGTAATTGTTGTGAAAAGCAGAATTTTAATATATATGTAGAATGGCTGGTTTGTATATGTGAGTAGTACGAACGTACAAATAAAGCAAGACCTTGTACATACATTTGTATGTATGTATTCATATGTATATTTAAATGGAAAGTTTTCCACCAACACCACAAAATGAGTCGCACAGGCTGACACTGAAAGTTCTGAAGATCGAGTGCCTACGTTTCGGTATGGAACTATAAATACACACAAACAAACAATGCATACATACATATGTACATACATACAGATATGGGCGATGCATACACACTGCTGATAATGTGAACGTGGAGTGCATTCTGCTGATGACAGGCCTTAACACATCACAATCAAATATTGATTGACCCTAGAGGGGTGGCCTTAATCGCTTCTAAAATGTGCTTTTTCACCCTGACTCTTCCCCAAGCTACCAAGTCCGCTGCCTTGCCTTAGACTGCCTACACTTGTGGCCCTTGCATCACCTATATAGTATAGCAACCGGCTCAACGTTCTGTGTGTTCGGACTCGTGTTTGTTCATATCCACATGTTGCAGTGGGCGTTTCGCCTTGCTTGGGGGCTGGCTCTGATGCCCTTGGTAAAACTTCTGCCTTCGGATTACGGGACATGTAATTGTAATGGGGCCGGAGCGCAAGCTCGCAGAAGATAAGGCGGTTTGGTTTGTTCATTATATTATTGAATACACACACCATAAAATCGGTTTGCCAGAGCAAGCCATGCAGCTGGGTTGAGTGTACTCGGTTCACCATATTATATTGCCTAGCTGGGCTACCAGATAACCCGTGCAATTTGGGGTCTATATACTCTATGAGGCTGGACACATTCCTTCGGTCAAACACTCAGCCTCATATACCCATTTGCTGTTGCTGCATGTGGCGACAGGCGTCACATGTACATATATATGTGCATGCATACAAATGTGTGTGTGTAGATATAAGACTTTAAAATCCCATAAACAATCGTAATCAAGACTAAGGCTTGTTATGAACGCAGAACTTGAGAGTTCCGCCCCGAAATCCATAGCAAGATCATTAATGAAGCTAATCTATATTCATGGAACGAGTTTCAAGATGTTCACATCTTACAATGCAGGTCTGTGGATATCCAGTTATGCTCTGCTGCCAAACAAATTCCTTTCCTGTGCCCATTTGCATAATATAAAAAGATAAGCTGAAAAGTGTTTTGCTGTTCAACAATATAAAGGAACAGAAATGTTTTTCCAACTGGGCCACAATCTTATCGTCGGCTTTTCTCTGATAAGCACTAAAGGCATACATATACATACATACATATGTACATATGCACATCTTTATAAATATCATTTTTATAAATTAAATTGCATTTCTAACGATCTTCAAGCGATTACATTACCGAACTTTAATGAAAATTTTCTAATATGCAATATTTCCATTTAAGACTACAATACTTATGAGCGAGATTGTTTTAGCGAAAGTCATTGACTGGGCGGTTCTTTAAAAATTGAAACATAATTTGAAAATTAAGTTAATTTGTGCCGCGTTTAAAGTCCGAAACAGCTGATAAGCTGCTCCTTCCGCCTGCAGAAGTCTGACCGGCACTTTTTGTTATCTGTTTTGGCGTGGCATCTAACTCGGTCAATAGAATGATGGCACTGGTTATCAGGGACCGCGTTATCAAATGGTCATAAATCATGGTGGAAATAAAAACATTCTGCATTGGCAAATGAATTACTTCTGAAATTCAATTGATGTAAGCGTTGTTCCTGTTCTGTATGCAGAAAAGGAAACATGTTATCTTATACGAGTACATACAAATGTATATATATTTATGTATGCACAGGTTTGAATAAATAAATATAAATATCAACAATTTTGGCGCACGGCCACGGTGCGTGATGTGTTACTGCTCGACCTGCTCCTGTACAGCGCAGGCCAGAAAAATGGGAATTTAATTTAATTCACTTAATGTACATGCATATGTACATAAGCACTTACATACATACATATATGTACATATGTATATGTAGATATATGCGATTCGAGTGGCAAAAAGCGAAACCGAAACTGGGCCAACCAACTTGTATACGCCCTTATGGGGAGAGCAGAATGATGCAGAACAAAATACGAACTTCTGATAATACCAGATTTACAGCTACAATATGTAGAGGTAGCGTCGGCTACGTCACAGGCACAGTCATAAAGGCAGTAAAAGCAGTATAACAAAGAGAAAATCAAAAGCAAAACACCCAAAACCTGTTTATGGAGGTGCATGTTTAGCGATCGTTGCTGGGGGCTGTGTTTGGTTTATTGTTTCAATTGGTTTTCTACCAACTGCTCGTTGAGATTACCGTTTATGGCACTACTAATAGCCCCTCATAATTGATTACTCGACCGAAACAAATATATGGCAGATCCCAGCTCCACAGTTTGATTATGGAATCGCAGTGGCACTTGTCACTCAAATGGCATAACATATCCTGTGACTGATGTCCAAAAAAAAATTTTTCATGTACCGTGCTAATGCAACACCTCGGAGATTTGTCATTTTTTGTAGGAGGCGAGTCTTCGTCCTAATCTACGGCGCGTGTCGATATTGTGGAGTCTTGCGCCAAAACAGACAGCCGCACGATTATTTTCTTTGTATATAGTTTTTTATCTGGCCTATTTATCTAATATCACACTGCTCACGCCATTCGTAATATTTTGGTCGTGATGTGTGGGCTATATTTAATCTGTGGCGCTCTTTGGTAGAACCTCACGTCATATAGTCTTCTGGAACGGCTAGCGAATCGGAAATTTTTAGTCTCTGCTCTCTGTTCCTGTCGATTACCAATTTCGTATTCTATTTGCCCTGGCACAAAGCCCCGACTGTCGTAGGAAATATTAAAAAAATTTGAGAAAATCGTTCTTCCCTGATTTATTTATTGCATTCTCTCTGTCTGCGTAGCACACTCGGGTGGAAATGTTTGCGTCATCAGCACCACGCACGCGTCCACCAAGTGATCTTGTTCTTCAGCTGATTGGCGCATTGAACAAAACAAAGTTCACCGAGGCAATCATCAAAAGCAGAAGCGATGACGAGCAAATACAAGACATGGGGCCTTGCGCTTTAATTTAATTTCGAATTATGTGTTTTTATGAGACTCCAGAAAACTCGGATGGCATATTATTAATTACTTTTCAGGTTGTTGGATAATTCATCTATGCTGTTTTGAATACTGGAATACCTACTGGAAATATGTTATTGTTTTTTTGCTTCACGCCAGCTGATAATGAACTTGCGATAAGTGCACAATCTTTTTACTGCGGAGTTGTTTATGCAGATTACAAACGCATTCTTACATGATACCAAAGTTGACTGAACTGCACCAGCCTCCTCCTATCACATTCATCGGTATTTCTTTGTGTCTTAGTGAAATATGTAAATACAATGAACTGCCTTTCATACCTTTGTACAAATCTACGTGCATATTAATAATTGTGGTGAGACTTTGTTTCTTTGTTTCATCCTTGCTCACGTATATATGTACAATTCATTCGTACTTTGAGTTCATTCACTTACCAGTCCATCTACCCACCCTAGTCCTCTAGCACAGCAATTGTGGCATCGGCAGCCCATCCTCTGTTGCTTTCATCGCTCATTAGGCATCCCAAAATTATTTGGAAGACCTATAAGAGCACTGGCAATAGTTCTCGCTCCATATTGGTTTGGTCCTTACGATTTCTGATAATTAGCTTCGAATCAATAAAGGACTTTTCTTTAAAAACCTATCAACATAACATTCTTCAAAAGCTGTCGCTTTGTATTAGCAGTTTAGATATAATTTCTTAAACAACAAATTAGCACTATCACTTATACAATTGAATCGAGTTGTTAATTTGGGGAAGCATATTTTTGGGGCTGTAGCCGTGTTAAATGTACGTAAAAGTAAATCGTGGCCGTGTTACGGACATTTCACAACATATACATATACATATATACTGTAAATATGTTCTATAGTTATTGCTGATTGACATTCCGAACGACTGATTAGAAAAAAGGCGTGTACTATTTCGGATAATAGAATGCTGGACGTCTACAGCGGGCAAACGTCTAACTTGGACACTAGAATATCAGAGCATGTCGATATGGCACAGATGAGTAAAATAAGACAATTTTGCTCCTGGCGAACACTTCACAAGTTTCACAAGTGGTAATCGGTAGTAGGACTGAGCTGAGGTGTTCTTGCTGAATTCTGATTTATTTCGCCGGGCTAGGACGTTCATTCTGCCCTCATTCGTTAGCACCGCAAGACCTTTTTATAACCTTACCGGCCATAAAATAAGTGGACAACGGTCTCAATCGGCCGCGAGAAAGCTCCTCAAATAATCCTCCCTTTACCGTGAAGGAATGCTTTGGCTGATAGAGCAAGCTCAGGAGCGGGTTCCTCGGGTTGACTCGCATGTTGTTAATGGCATAGGTTCCCTTTGTGAGCGGACAGCTCAGCGAGTAGTTGCTTTGTTTAAGCACGTTGTCCTTGGCGGGCTTGAAAAGCGGGATCGAGTTGAAAACATTTTGCAAGTCGCACAACCTGGTGGATGCATTGTATATGGTGCGGGGCTTCTCCTTACTTGAGCGCTGAACGATAAGGATTCGGGAAACAGGCGAGGCGATTTCCTCGTTGATGGTGGTAATGGAGCCAATCCCAGTTTGGTTTGAAAATGTCATGTTCACTACAAACCGAGGACGGTCGTCTGTCCAGTTTGAGTAGGTTAAAATCACATAGTAACATTTCTAGTGATAGTGTTCTATTATAGGTAGGACTCTGGAGATGAATACACACGAATACGAACCTCCTTGCTCTCGATTTCCAGGCGCCTAGATAGCATCATCCAAGCGATAATATAGGCAAGATTGCTCCAACGCATGTTCTCTGAGCTTCCAGCGATGAGACACAATGGCCTCAGTATCGCAATGTGCTGACAAATATGAGCAAAACCGAATGCAAAATGTAACAATTAGCATTAGCTGCCCCATCAAATACACATTATAATCAGTCGTTTAGCCAATTAGAAATAGTAATTACAGTGCGAGGAGCATCATTGATTAGTACAATATGTCGAACTGCTCTGCTATGCTTAGAATCTGGTTCAGTCTGTGGCATATGCGTTCCGAGCCCGTGTTCTTCAAAAGTTCGGCCAGCTGACGGTGTTCTTTTTGCTCGGTGGTCACATTCTCAGCCAGAATGAATCGCGTCATGAATAATGCATGGGGCACCTGGATGTATGCAACACGTTTCACCTCCGCCCGAAATCTGTGGAGCAGCGATACACAATAAAAAACGCAATCTCGCTCGTTCATTCCCTTATCTTACGCTTCGTAGCTGTATCCTGATACCTCTGCCCCCACTCCTGCCAGACAGCTTATGAATGTCTTGAAGTAGACCCCCAACATGTGTTCGAAGTGTAGCTCCAAGATAGGAATATCAACGCTTGATAACAGAAACGAGATTATGTCATGCACAACGGAATCGTATTGCGCTGTTTGGAAGTCGATTATTTTCATGTGAGTGGGTTCGCCAGAGGGGCCTGCAAAAAATATATTAGATCTGTTTGTACTCTTCAAGAAAGGGGGCTCATGACTGACCGTACTGGAACATTAGATTATTGATCCAGAAGTCCGAGTGGATTATACTTGTAAATGGCCCATCTGGCAAGTTTGGGGGAGCTGCAAGGAAGTCGAAAAACTCGTCTGACAATAGCTTAACGCGGGACACCAACTCTACGTTATTGTTGGTGGCTTTGCGTATGTCTTCTAGTGTCTCCGCTTTCATGATGGCCTTCGACTCTGGGGCAGCCGCATGCCAATCGAACTTGTCAAAGAAGGGTTTAATCTTCTCCTGGAATACATGGGGCTTCAGCAACCGCAGTGCAAGAGGAAGCGCATGAAACTGGGCCATGTATCTAAGCGCCATCAATGTGTGAGATAGGTCGTAGGGCTGCAGCCTCTGGCCTGGAACGTAGTTGCTGCTGCGCAGATTTTCCAGCACCAATATGGCATGATGGTCCACCAGGTGGCAGCTCGGATGAAGCGACGTCCGGGAGCCGTAGTATTGCGCGAATCCGTCAAAGTTTGCAGCTTGTGGAATGCCCGCCTCTTCCTGTAGTGCGGCTAAGGCAGGCGCCAGGATCTTATATACAGCATTTTCAGTGAGACAAGTCCTTTCCGGCTGAATGAATTGCCAGTATTTAGGGTCTGTAGGTGGGACTTTGGCTACCAAATTAAGCTCTTCATAAAGCTCATCATCTGGGCGTTGCACCTGTGCGCGTATTGATAGTAGCACGCTGCCGTAATTGTCGCCCGGTTGCGTCAGACTGTTTGTTTTGTAGCTGCAAAGGAGTCTACCGGAAAGGTGTGGCTCGATTACCTGGCCAAGATCGCAAATATCTGGTAAACTGTCCATGTTGCCTCACCACCTAATTGGTACTCTAGTTATGAGCGACTGCGAGATTGGGGCGAGCTTCTATCTAAAGGGGGCTTTGCCTTTACTTTACTGATTAGCTTCTGATAACAGAACGGTGTGAAAAAGGTGTCGACGCTCCGTGATTCAGCAAAATGTTTATTTGGTGTCATTATGATTCCGACATATCCACATATACTTACTATAAAACTGTTGTGACTTAGTAGAATAAATTAAACTTTTTGGCCAACCTCAAGATCTCGCCAAACTTAGCTACAATGTTCTTAGCTCCAGTGTTCTTAGTCAACACCGTCAGGTCTACGTCCTTATATTCTGTTGGCAGCGTGCTGCTGTCGGCCAAGATAACTTTCATCATAAAAATGGAATGGGGTAACTGTAAATGTGCTTGGCTTTGGACTTCATCGAGGAATCTGGGAATGGGAATGAGATAGATAATTGAATTTGGAAGGTTTGTAGCATTTATCTACAGACTAGTTTATCTTGATTTGTCTGTTGGGGAAATTACTTACTTCTCAAGTCTATAACTGTTAGTATCCACATCGACTTGACGCAAGGATTTAATAAAAGCATTGTAATAGATGTTTAGCAGATTGTAAAAGTTCTCCTCCAAAACCTTTGTGGCCACACTGGAGAATAGTAAAAATATTATATCGTGGACCAACGACCCATACTGGGCAATTTGAAAGTCGACAATTTTTAGCTTGACCGGAACGCCATCATCGTCTGAAAGGGGTTTGGGAATAAAATCAATCTTTTCACAGCATTTTTCGCAACTTACCGTATTTCACCATTAAATTGTTGATCCACAAATCTCCGTGTACGAGCGTAGTGAAAGGTCCATCCTCAACGTCCTTACCAGCCTGAAACGCATCGAATTGGTCTAGCAACTCTTTGACGCGCTTCACATCATTTTCATCTCCATTTGTCGCAGACTTGATGTCAGTAAGGATCTCATTGTTCATCAACTCTTTCTCTTTGGGCGATATATTAAGGTTCATGTCGAACTTCTTGAAATAGGGCCGCACATACTCTTCATATATGTGAGGGTTTTTTAGTCGCAAGGCAATTGGAAGGGCGTGATACTGTGCCAAGTAATGGAGAATGAGCACAGTGTGCGCCAGATCATACGGCGTTTGACGGTTTCCAGGCCTGTAGCCGTGAACTGTTACGTTTTCCTGGACAAGTACGGCGTCCCGGTCCACCTTGGTGGCGCTTTCGTTCAGAGATATGCGGGATCCATAGTAGCGGGGAAAGCCATCGAAAAGTTTGGCTGGCACGACGCCACATTTAAGTTGGAGCTGGGCTAACTCTGGTGCCAAATACTTATATACAGCATTTTCTGTGATGCAGGTTCTTTCTGGCTGAAAGATTTGCCAGTAAATATCGTTGGTGAGAGGTGGAAGTTTGGCTATCAGCGGCAACTCCCGAACTTCACCATCACCATCCTTGATTTGTGCTTGAATAGCCAACATGACGCTGCCATAGTTATCCCCTGGCTTGGTCAAGTAACGACTGGAATATGTCTCCAATGTGGTTCCCTCTGTCAAATGTGGCTGGATCACTTTGTGAAGATCCGTGATTTTCGGAACTTCTCCCATGTCGGATCGGTTTGTACTGCTCCACTCTCAGTCAGTGACGATTGAAAAATGGGGCTGACTGAGCGAAGTCAACGTGCTTTCTACTCTCGGTTCTTTATAGTTCCTATAGTATTATTTAGCTTTAATGCATGTGTGGTAGTCAAATTATTTGTTAACTAGCCGAGCGAGCGGCAGTCGACGCTGTGCGAAAAATTGGCTCAAGTGGCGCAGATAACATTTATAGAGTGATACCTGGTTCTCGCGGGGTATATGTGACAGCCGGAAATAACTATCACATACCATGCCATTTTCAAGGTCCCTAACGGAACTTCATAGCTTCGTCACATGGTACGAGGTATTTCGTAGTCATAAAGTTTTTAAATGAAAAATTTCATTTGATTTTTTTTTGAATTTCTGGTACTGTTCACTGTTTCCCTGACTAAATAGAACGCTTCATTCATATCACCCTAGGTGCTGATGGGAGATGAATTGTGTAAGGTAGTACTACAAGAGCTGCTCAATCAACAGCGGCAACGATGGCATCAATAACAATCAGTAACATCAGCATGTGGATGCCTAATTAAAATGTCTTTCTTATCACAGATGCTCATGCATTGTGTTCAATATCTATCTATGTATCATCAAAAAGGGGAAAACATCGATATATGGATTTACAAGGAAAAATCATATATACCGTTTGGAAATTATCTAAAACATTTACAAACAGTATTACTTTCCGCGGTTTAGCTCAAGGTGTTCAACTGTTTCAATAGAGATGGGTTAAATGGGTTAAATGGGTTAAGTTCGGTATTTTCTCGGTATATTTACGGTATACCATGAAAATGACAAGGTGAATTTTAGTATATTTTTGTAGGTCTTGGTCGGTATATTTAATCAAATAGTCTAAAGCCACACTGTAGCATCTTTTTGAAAAAAAATATAGTCAAAATTAAATGCCGAAAATATGAGCGTAATTTTAGATTTACACGCTTTAAGCGTAGACGACATTGTCGAGGAGTACAAGATCTTGCATGAGCGCTACCAGAAGCTAAAGAACCAGACTGAAAACGATGCCCAGCGCATTTTCAGTTTGAAAAGAAATCTGGACACAGCGCTGGCCGCCGAGGCATACTTGACCCAAGAACTCGAACAATTGGGCACGCAAACGTTAGAAGTTCGTCCAGGTGTGGAGGTGCAGGAGTTGGAGGAGCTGCGCCGCAAGTTCAGGAGCCTGCAAGTGGAGCACGACACCCTCCAGCAGGACTATGACACCAAAGCGGAAGAAGCGAGGGGATTGCAAAACCAACTGGCGGCTGTGGAGCGTGGGCTGGCGGCCAACTTGACATCAAAAGATGCCCATGAAGAATGCCACTTGCGCTTCCATGCCTTGGAAAACGAGAACTCTGAGCTGCTGTTGAAGCTGGCGGAACATGAGGAGTTCAGTGTAAAACACATCCTAGAAGTGGCTGAAAAGGAGGTAAGTCCTGAGCTGTATGCTTCAATAGAGACTTTGATAGATTGCCTACCTTACCCCTTAGAAAATCATCGAGTGTCTGCAGGACCAGGTGAGCTGCCTGGAGCAGAATTTGCAGTGCAAACGCAACGAACTGGAAGAGAAGGAGCAACAGTTGTATGTCGCCCAGGAGAAGGTGGTTGATGCCAATGCCAAGATATTTCAGCTAACCAGTGCCCCCCAAACCAATGGTAGCTACAAAATAGTTTGCTTTGACAGTAGATTGTAGTTTTGTCTTTGATTTAATGTATTCCAGAGCCCAAGGGCAACTCTCTGTTTGCGGAGGTGGACGACCAGCGGCAAGTAATGAAGCAGCTGCTGGCTGCCCAGAAGAAGAGCTATCTAGACATGAAGAAAACCTACACGGAGAGCGAGTCCGAGATACGTCGCCTAAAGCGTGAGAATGTGGCCATGCACACAGAGCTACAGGCGTGCAGCACCATCTTCTGCAGTGCCGACAAGACCTATCAGAGTGAGCAATCCCCAGGAGACACTTCTGGTGATTCCACTAACTGAATCCTTCCTTATTACCCCAGATAAGCTCAACGAACGCATTCGCCAGCTGATGAGGCAGACTGAGACCCTGGAGCAGCAGCTAAACGTCTCCCAAAAGCGGCTGCGCGAGGTGGCCAGCGAGAAGAACGTGACCTGGCTGGACTCCATGCTGGAATTCTGCAAGTATGAGTTGCCCAATCGTATCGACAGTGTGCTAGCATCGCTTAGCAATCTGTTGCTAAGCCTCTTACTGTGAGGCAGGCTCTCTTCTAGTTAGGTAATTATCCTCATCCCCCATTCATCCATTTAGACGCGAAACCGACGAGCAGAAGGCGCAACTGCATAGCATGCGCATCCAAAAGGCCGCCCTGGACGAGCAAATGCGCTCCGTGCAGAAAGAGATGGCGCGGTAAGCAATGGAGTACGTCTTGACATGGATCTATTATTTGAATCTTCGCCTCCCATATTTTCCAGTTGGCGTTTTGAGTCTCTGAAATCTCGCTGCGTGTTGATTGATCGCGAGAATCTGCTGACGGAGCACAAGATTGCCTTCAAGCATGTTCAAGCCATGGAATTCAACATTAAGGAGGCCGAACTGAACACCGCCCTGCCACGCATTGTCAGTGTTGCAGCCACTGAGAGCCCAGCCACTGGGAGATTCACGGAAGCTGAAGTCAAGGAGGCAAAAACTGAGATTACAGGCTTATTCTGCAGCACATCGCCTCGTGCTTCACGTGAGGGAAATATTCATTTGGAGAAGACAATCATACCTGAAGAACTGAATGTCACACCAGTAATTGTAAAGCAAGAAGTTAAAGATGTATCCTCGGCAGAAGATGCACCCAAGCCCCTCAAGAAGGGCACTCCAGTCAAGACGCGTGCAGGAGGAATGAAAATCAAGTGCGAAGAGAAAGCTGTTGAAACAGCCAAGCCCCAGAAGAAGGGAACACCCATTAAGAGTCGCATTAAAACGAAATGCGAAGATCAAACACCGCAGAAAGAGTCCAGCGAAGAAGCGGATGAGGAGGAAGATAATGACCAATCAATTGACAATGCAGTAAAACCAGTGATGAAGGGCACACCCATAAAATCCCGTTTGGGCGTCATAAAAGTCAAGTCCAACGAAATGCTGATGGCCAAGCAAGAGCCCGAAGAAGAGGCAGTCAAGTCCAAGGGTCGCAAGGGAACACCACTGAAAAAAAAGGAACTCACGGCCGAGGATTATGATAGCGATGTAGCGGAATACGTCTCTTCCACACCCAACAAAATCGACATTAAAGACAACAGCACTATGACCCCGGCCAAACCACTGCGTAAGGGAACTCCCGTAAGGAGCAACACACACCAATCAATACAGCCTGCCATGCAGGACACAACCAACAAGAATGTGCGCTCCATCCTGAGCAAGAAGCGTGAGATATTCGCCGAGGACAGCCACAAGATGGTTCAGTTCAGCGGCAGCTCACCTGTTGTACACAATCTAAGTCCCGTGGAGAAGCTACTGCCCGACGCCAAGGAGAACGAAAAGCCGACGACAGCTTCCGCTGGGGGCAAGGACATTAAGCCGACGATTAAGGGCCCGAACATCATCAGACGAATTGTCATCGGCCCCAGGCAGCCAAAGAAATGACGGCATCACAATTTAAAAAGAAACTTTAATTATACCTTACATCTAGACATGAATTTAGTCATTAGTTACACACCAAAACAACAAGCAGCAGAATCAACAGATGGGAGAAGATTAAACGAGACCTACAAATTGTCTCCCCCTAGTAGTTCCTCCTTCTGTTTCCCTTCTTCCTCGAACGACAGGTGGTCGTAAATCGGCGCTGTGGGCTCTGCGTCTCCTTCCAGCATCCCTTTCGTCTCTCCGTTCTCCGCCAGTTCCTTGATCTCGGCGTACAGTTGATACGGCAGCTCCGTGGGCAGTGACTCATACGTCACATGATGCGTGCGCGAGCACGAGGAATCTCTATGGCCCGTGCAGTTGCAAATGGAGGCGCCACCACTCACCGGCGTCTCATAGCCATCGGCCAGAGCGGGCTCCAAGTCCACTCGGGCCGCACCATTGCCATTGGCTATGGGGTAGCGCACAATATCCACATGATCCACGAAGCGAGGCTGGCTGGAGCCCTTGCCATCGCCAAAGCACGACAGTCCCGAAATATAGTAGGACAAGTGGAAGAGCCGCTCGCAGTGCAGGTAGAGGTAGAGCAGCAGGAAGAGCAAGGCGATCCCCAATGGCAGCATAAATACAATGACGAGGGCCCCAGAACGTTGGCTGCGATGCAGCTCCACCGGATTGCCGTATAATACTGTGAAGCTGGAGACATTCGTGTTGGGATGTGGCACCGGAACAAAGGAGTTATTGAGGGACACATGCATAATCCTGCCCGGCGGTCGCTCCTTTTTGGTCGGCCCTTCTGTGGGTGCCTCCTGGGGACTGCAGCTTAATCCATTCACATTGATGTGGGAAATGTATTTGGAGTACTGCAAGAGCCGGAACATCTGCGGTTGGCTGTGCGAGAAGTTGAGCAGCCACTGGCAGCTCCAGGGATTGCCATCGATAAACATCCGCAGCTGCATGGACTGCTGTTCCAATCGCGCGTCCACATCTTTCATACTCATCAACTGATTCGATCGCAAATCTAGAAGTTGGAGGGTTTGTGGTGCGATCTGCAGCAGCTGCCCTAAGGAGAGCGTGTGGAGGCGATTATCCTGCAACCGTAGCTCTTGGAGTCGCGTCAGTCCTCTGAACCAGCCACTGGTAAGGTTTCCCAATTGATTCCTGCTGAGATCCAGCGATATAAGAGAACTTTCTCCCAGTTCCAGTGAGATCAAGGTATTGCTACTAAGGTTCAAGCGGAGCATTTTCCGATTTTCGTATGGTTCAAGGTAAAATCTGTTCAGTTGGCAATCCACAATGGTCACATTAATCAGCTGAGATGTTCCACTCGTCAGGCGTAGGCTTCTCTTGTCGATTGGTGTCTTCTGCACAACGAGTTCTGTGAGATTCTCAGGCAATTCATCAAAAAACTCAGATTCAATCATCTTGAGGCGACTAAAGCTAAGTTTTTTAAGCTGCGGCAGCTGTGCAATAATGTCACCACCTCTCAGAACCAACTGTTCCTCCTCCCTGATGCTCAGCTCCTTGAGTATCCCACAGCCCAGCAGTGGTTCCATGAACCGCAGGGAGTTACCTTGAATCTGAAGACGCCTCAAATGCGGCAATTGCTCGAAGCTATTCCCACTTAGCGTGCCGAGATCATTATTCTTCAGGTACACAGCTATCATCTTGTTTAGAATGGGACCTCCGCAACCCAGCCTGAGGGTGGAGTCACCAACGAATCGCTCGATCTGCAGGCTCTGCAGATGCGGACAATTATCCAGATACTCCAGGCCATAGCTGGCAACGCCGAGTGGCGGCGTGTGAGCGCCGTCCAGCAGAACATGACTCTTGCCAGCCACCCGCTGGGCGCCAAGGTCGAAGGCGGCCAGTGCCTCCAGCGTGCCGTTTCCGGAGCAATCAATGTCCAGGGGCAGGCCAAAGTCTTGGTCGCTGCGATCCCATGCTGGCGTCATGTAGAGCGTGGCGCGTATGACGCAAGTGGAAGTCGATGCGTAGGCGGAAGACATCTCATCGTCAGCTGCTGCTGCCGCCCTCACGTGTGACAAGAACACCAGCAGACAGAGGCAGCCAAAAAGGCCGACGCAGTGCGTCATCGTCTGAGGGGAATGCCAGGGGCTGCCCATCGGTGCGTGCCACTGCGAGTCTGTTTCATCCGTGTTCGTACGCGACGCGTGCGAAAACTCAACTGAGAGCTAAGGAGCGACCCTCACATTGGAAAAGAGCTGAAAAACCACACTGCAGCGCACCTTTGCGTGGCACCAGCAGCAGCAGCCCCCCCTCCGCCATCTCCCAGAGTTTTCTTTTAATATTAAAAAATATTTCTCAGAGATTCGTCGTTGTGTTATATTTTTAGCCAAGACTCCTCGCTCTCTGGGAGCGAACGCTGATTCCTATGAGTATTCGAAACGCACTCTTTCGGCTGTCATCGCCTGGTCCGTCCTCCCGCTGTCTGCTCCCGGCTCCTGTTCCTAATCTCTCAAACACTTTTCGCACAAAAAGAATCATGCTCCATCCAAAGTGGCTGTGGAAATTTGTTTATATGTAAAACATTGTGGGTATCAGCAGCTGTGAGAGCGATCTGCCCCGAACTGAACTGCGTACATGACTTGCGGACTTCCATGGAAATTGAAATGGTTTGTTTAGTTTGGGCATTTTGATTGGTATTTATTGGTCATGGGGATGGGCTGGATTGGATGATATCACAGATCAGGTGCTAAAGTGGAGCATCATTACTGGAGCCATATACTTTATGGCTTTGAAAACGCTTACTTCTGTCTGTTATATGTATATATGAGGATAATTACATATACCTGCATAGCACCAATCAGGACTTTCGAAAGTGCGGAATATTGAATATTTGCCTCGGTCGAGCATATTCAGAGGAGTTCAACCACAGATACCGCGCCACGAGATTTGTATATATTAAAATATTGTCCCACAATCTACCCCAGAATTCCAAGCACCATGGATGCCGATGGATTATCAACAATAATAAGAGAAAATGTATTATTAATAAATTGTATTCACAGAATCCAGGCAGTAAACGACGTGTAACACCCATGCAACTTGATTATATGCATCGCACCCATCTGTCTCTTCCTCTCCATTGCTTTTTCTTGAGGGTGTGAGCCATATCTTCAAGTTGTTTAGGCCGCTGATTGCTGATTCTAGGCTTTGGTCTTCATCAGCATCATGCGTGGATTACTGCGTCCGGCGCTGGATCCCTGGGAACTTTGATTGGCCCGGCCGATGCCCGATGACTCGTTGGGCCGCTGGGAGTGAGCCGAGCCGATGCCAGAACTGGCAGTGCCACCAACTCCTCCGCCACCGCTTATGCCACTGCCACCCGAAGTCATGGAGTAGATGTGTCTTCGCAACACACGGATGTGCTTCTGGGAGACCTCGAAGTTATGGACCAGCGTGTGGAGCTGTGCCTGCAGCTCGGCGATGAGGCTGTCCCGCTCCTGGATGAGGCTGGAGGTGGAGTTCTGGCTGCGGCTGAGCTTCAGCTCCAGGTCAAAGATGCGCTTCTGGAGCTCACGTCGCTGCTTCTCGCTCTGCTCCCGATGGCGGCACATCTGCCGCTTGCTGGCCGACTGCAGGGACTCCAGCTGCTCCTTCACGCTGGTCAGCTCCTCGGACAGGCGTCGCTTCTCCGTCTTCAGGGCCGCATTGTAGTTCTTGAAGATCTTCAAGTCACGCTCGGCAGCCTTCAGCCTGTTGATGGTCACCAGCTTGCGGCGCCCCAGCTCATCGATCTTTAGCTTCAGCTGGTTGGCCTCCTGGTGCAGCAAACGGAGCTTGTCGACCAGCTTGCAGTTCTCCCGCATTGCCTTCTCGTACTTGCTGTGCTCCTCCCGCATCATTTGCGGCAGGTGGGAGATGTTCTTCAGCTTCGAGTCGATCTTCGAGCGCAGGGAGTCGATGTCATGGTATATGCTCGACTCCAGCTGCTTGTTGTTCACGTGCAGCTTGTCGATCTCGTGCTTCTGCGTCTTCATGATCTCCTGGGCTTTGACACAGCGCGAATGGTAGTCGGAGAGGCGATCCTTCTGCTGTCGAATGATGTTGCGGTACTGTCCCTGCTCGGTCTTCAGGTTGTTGATCGTCGAGTAGAGGTCCCGTGTGGAGCTGCCAGACTCCCGTTCACGTTCGCGCTCCCTTGGATGTGCTCGTTCGTGCTTGTACTTGTGGTGATCTTGGGAGGTGTTCATCACGTCTTTGAGAACCTTGTAGACATCCTTGATCGAAGCCGGCTGGTTCTCCTGATCCTCCATATCGTCATCATCCTCATCGTCGTGCTCCATTATAGAGCGATGGCGCCGCCTGACCTGGCGACTGGCCAGAGTCTCCACAATGTGGCTGCTGTAGTCGTCGCCCACCTGCTCGGACAGGCTCATCTTCTTCGGCGGCGACTGCTTCGTGGAGTGCTTCTCTCTGGGGTACTTCTTCTTCTGGGGCAGATCCTCGTAGGAGTTGGGAGCTTCCAGGACGGTCATGAAGCTGCTACTGCTCCGAAAGATCTTGCTGCTACTCTGATCCAGGGACACATCGGAGGCGATGCTGGTCGAGGATTTGTAGTTGTACACATCAGCATCGCCGTCCATTTCGCTGCCCATCTCCTCTTCCTGGTCGGAGCTGCTGCCCCGCGTGGCCACAAAGTGGTCGTGCTTCTGCTGCAGGCCGCTCAGCTCGTAGTTGATCTTCATGTACTTCTCCTCCAGATCCTTGGTCGTCTCGTTGTACTCCTGCAGCTCCTGCTTGTACTTACATAGCTCCTCCTTCAGCTTCGCCCCAATCTCGCCGGAGTTTTGGGGCTTCTGCAAACGAGCATCTCGAGCGCGTTCGGAAGTGCGATAGGAGACGGATCTCTTCTGCCCCAGTTTGGGTATCCGATGCCTCCCCTCGCACTCATACTCATCCTCGTCATCAAGCTTCGGATCGGACTCATCCACCTCGTTGAGTGCGAGATCTGCGTCTCCTTGTCCGTCTCCATGATGCTCGTCACGGGACATGCTGGAGCTGGTATCCTGCGAGTCATGACCCTTGGCTGCTTGCCCCATCTGGACTGATGTCTTCCGCGGCAGACTGTTGTAGCTGCTCCTCTTACCCAGCTCCTCTCGCTTAGCCACGGAGCAATCCAGCTCCAAGTCGTTGCCAGGTGACTCCATTGGTGATCTGCTCCAAGGCTGCCTCTTCAGACAGTCGACTGTGCGCGGTGGTTACTAGTTTGTGGTGGTTTTTGTGGGTTGGCGCTTAACACCTACTAAAATTTAGCGTTTGATCTGATCCGATTGAATTCGCACTAGTGAAATTTTAAAGCTGTTTTTGCTAACAGAAAATTTTTACTACAATATATCACATTCGTTTACTAAAATTAATGAATTAATGAAGTTATACTCCAGACGATTCGAAAGCTACTGACTTCGAACGATTTTGACAGGCCAGGCCTACTGGACGATCTGCTTGAAATTAATTTGGGGAAATTTCTTTAGGGCAAAGTGTGTGCGAGCGAGAAAGAGAATAAGTAGCGTGGTCTCGTACTGGAGGTGGTGGGCGAAGCAGCTGCAAATTAATTTCGTTACTCTGGCTATAATAATGATCCGATCTGATTCAGATTCGGAAATCTGGTAGATATGGTCATTCTCTACGATACTACGTTTTTTTTCTTTTCTGGTATCTTTAAAATTGTGGCTGCCACAGATTTTCGTCCTTTGTGATGGCGGAAGGGGGCGGGTCTAGATTTTGAAATACAGTGTAGCAGTGTGATGCTCTCATAGGCACTGAGGTCTAGGCGACAAACAAGACGGACGGACATGGCTATATCGACTCCGCTATTGATGCTCATCAAGAATATATATACTTTATTGGGTCGGTAACGTTTCCTTCTCTGCGTTGCACACATCCACTTTTACCACAAATCTAATATACCCCTTAACTCTTTTTGAGTACGGGTATAAAAATATTTAAAAACATGTAAAAACGCGATGCAATAATATTACCTTTCTCTTTCTTGTAATTGTGGGCTGTAATATTTTCAAAGAATATTTTTGGACAATATTTTTTTAGAATACATAAACATAAAACCATTAGTTTTTCTGTGTTGTTCCGTATAATTTTTCACGGATCACAGCAGGCCATTCCCAAGGTGCTATCATATTCCTATTCAGAATATACTGCTAGTCCCTCAGTTTATTTTATACGTTTAGGAATAACACAACAGCTTAGCTGATAAAATTTTTTAGTTATTTTTTTCAAATTTTACTGGACATAAAAGGGAGAATAAAATAGTAAACGTTCAGAAAACGTATAAAATTCTTAGAATTTGGTTAATTGCTAGTGAACTGTAACGAAACTTAACAATGGCGGATACAGAGAATACCGAAGATGCCGGGGAGTACGAGGAGGAGCAAAAGTTCATGGAGGAGCACATGATGGAGGAGGGGATCGAGGACGATCTGTTCTCGCGGCTGGGTGAGTCCTCCGATGATCCGGAGCAGAAGCGCATGTACATGGAGTACTTGGCACTCATCAAGGAGATCGACTGCCAGAACAAGATCATCCAGGACATCAAGGGCAATGTCATGGACATGTGCTCCAAGCCATGCCAGACGCGCAACGACATGCGCGAGATCAAGCGCCTGCGTGTGTGCATGGAGCAGGAGAACATCAAGCTCCACACCATGATGCGGCGGGCCATCGAGCTGCAGAACTTTGGCTCGCACCGTCACTACCAGGAGGTGAACCTGACCACCACCGTGGACGAGGACCAGCTCTCGCCCTACATGTGCGGTATTGGTGCATGCAACGCTATTCAGAACAGCGGCCCCACCGAGCCCTGCAGCGATGATGCTAGCTCCTGTGCCAGTGTCTGTGGTGGCGGTGGTGGTGGAGGTGGAGGAGCTGGTGCGATGGATGAGCGCCTAATCTGTGCCCTGCAAAAGGCCATGCAGAAGATGAAGGGCGCCTGTCCGGAGGACAAACGGATGATGCAGGAGATCGCCGCTGCGATCATGGCGTGCAAGAACAAGCCCGTTTGCAGCCCCGGACCCTGTGGGTCGAAGCCTCCCTGCCCGGAGAGCAGCAGCAGCGTGTGCCCGGCCGCACCGCCCTGTCGTTCGGCGAAGCGTTCGCATGGCCATGCCCATGCTCCCCCATGTCCCCAGAATTCATCGGCGCCCTCCCACACCGAGTCGATGGACAAGCTGAAGCATCGCATTGTGAAAATGCAATGTTCGGTAAAGAAGCTGCTGCACGAAGTGAGCCAGCGCGAAGCCCAGGATCCGTGCGATGATCAAAGTGAGGATGAGGATCCTTGCTCCCGCCCATGTCCGGTACGCCCACCCTGCCCTGAGGATCCTGATCCACTGGTCATCTGCGGTGGGAAGCGCAACACCAAGGCGGACAAGTACGAGAAGATGAAGGAGAACTATACGCGCCTGCTGACCGAGTTCCAGCGCAAGGATTGCCAGATGAAGGAGATGCAGAAGCGGTAAGTGCGTGCCCAGGTGCAGCTCCAATTCGTAGACTGAATCCTCTGCTATGTGCTTCCCCAGAATGAAGGGCATTTGTGGAAGCAGTCCATCCAAAGGCGCCGACGGAGATGCCGATGCCGCCGAGCTGAATCTGCTTCGTGCACGCGTCAATGAACTGAAGGAGGAGCAGCAGGAGTTCAAGTGCATCATGAAGGAGCAGTCGCAGCAGTTGGAGGACTACCGCAATAAGTATCTGCTGGCCCAGCAGAAGGTCGAGGAGCAGTGCGTCTCGCTGGAGAAGCTCAACATGAACAACAAGCGCATCGAGCAACAGATCAATACGGAGGTGAAGGAGATCCGGGCCAAGTTCCAGGAGAAGCTCAACGAGCTGCTGCACTTCCCCAAGCTGCTGGAGAACGAGCAGTTGAAGCTGGCCCAGATTTGCAAGGAGAAGGACGAGATGCAGGGCAAGCTGGTGGTCGTATGCAAGGAGCTGAAGTCCTGCAAAGCCCAGTTGAGCTCCCCCACCTCGGTGGACGTTCGCCCACAGCTGGCCCAGTGCCAGCTGGAGCTCACCCAGGCCCGCAACGAACTGGAGGAGCTCCTCCGTCAGCGCGATCTCTTCTGCGAGCAGCTCAAGGCCACCCAGGATGACCTCGACACCCTGCGCACTGAGTCCGCCAAGATCATAGCCGGCACCAAGGAGCGCGCCGAACTAATCAAATCCCAGCAGCAGGAGCAGATTAATCGCCTCGAAAAGGAGCTGGCCCAGTGTCGTGCCACCGCCTCACTCTCGGTCAACGATCGCGAGGCTGTCATCCGGGAGATGCAGGGTCAACTAAATACACTCTCCTACAGCTTCGATGCCGCCCAGAAGCAGATCAAGACGCTACGCAATCACATTGCATATGTGTCAAATGAGAACTGTTTCCCAGTCAAGTGTTAAGCCGCATCCAAACCCATTTCCCCAAGGCCAGAGAGCAGTGAAGTTGAGCGACGATTTATAATTCAAAATTGCTCTGTTAACCCATACATTTGAGACCAAGTCCTAGTAAATTTAATGCAATTTTTCGGCCCGATATACGAGCACCCAAAATGCAATTTGCTTTTGGAGAGTGTGGGCTATGGTTGCAGTGGGAGCACAAGATATTGGGGCATGTAACTGTGTGCACCTGTACTCTCACTGTGTATAAATTTGTAATCCAAAAGATATGAAAGCTGAGGTCTCTGATATGGAGGGTTCTTATCTGCTAGGTACACATATAATTTAGATTGTGTAATTTTTCGTTTTTGGCGCTCCATAGGAAACAAATATATAATATATTGCTTTATTCTGTGGCATTTGAGGAACAACTACAAATGGTCAAAGTATGCACTTTAAGGAGGAGCGCTCCTGAGAGCTAATGGCAAACTGCGAGTAGAAAAATATTCTACAATGATTTGACAGCCAGTCGCTTCATTTTGGGGGCATTCTTTTTGGCTTGACGCTTCTGCTCTTTAGCCTCCCAGCGGCGCTGCTTCTCTGGATCCTCGTCGGCCAGAATGCGCTCCTTCTCCTGCTTGCGCTTGTCCTCGCGACGCTGAGCGGCTGCCTCAGCACGTGCAGCATGTGTGCTCTTCAAGAACTCCTCCTCAACGCGCTGGCGATTCTTGTCAGACTTGGACTTGCCCTGTAAAACCAACAATATATAGTATTCAAGGGTATTCTAAAAGATAAATTGATGGATGCATTAGGTACCTCCTTGGACATGCGATAAGTCTTCAAACGTTCCATTAAGTAAAAGATCAACAATAACAACGGCTTAATGGTTTCCATTTCGGCATGCTTGGGCAGATTAAAACCGGCAAGGAGCATCGGCTTGGTCTCCAGCTGCTTTAGTGTATTGCCCTCTTCCTGCTGGATGGGGCCACTGAACTGGTCCGAAATGTGCAGGTAATCGATATAGCTTTGGTATTTGTTAAGTGCGGTAATAATGCGTGTTTCCAGTATGGCAGATGTGGCCTCTGGCACCTCCGAGAGCACTGCGAAGCCGTTGGGCACATTGTAGCGATCCTCCGGCTTCCCGACTAGACTACAGAATTTGCTCTGCAATGGCAACAAGTGTTTGAAATCGAATTCAAATTGGGGATCTATAAATGTTGCTTACCAGATCTGTATATTCCTTAAAGACCTTGGTGATGGTCTTCTTAGTGCCGACTGAAAATACAAATGAATCCATCAAGCCACGCGTCAGTTCGATTTTGATATGGACCTGATCCAGCTGGGGGCGCATCAGACCCGCCACCAGGGACACCAAGTCCTGGCGCTTGATCATCTTCAGCTCGACGAGCATGCCCTCGCAGCAGGTACGTCCCGAGCACCAGAGCGTGTACAGGCTCTCACTCTCCTTGATCAGACCGGGATTCTCGTTATCCGCCTTGCCGTCATCTCCAACCAAAGCAAAGTTTTCGTCCAGCAGGGCTTTGTGCGTGGTAAACCAGAGCTGAGCCAGTCGTGCGTTTTTCGCCTTTCCCGCAAAGAAATTGGCAAAGTACGCCAGCAGACCAGCGACCATCAGCATCTCCATCCAATAGGAGTCCCAGTGGGTACGGAAGTGCAGCGGAATGTTGGGTATGTTCAGCTTGGGCTCGGCCTGTTCGTCGATTGGCGGGTCTTTGGCGTCACCGCCGTCATAGCCTTCGAACTCCTCCTCGTCCTGGAAGTGCTCAAACTCATCGTCCTCCTCCACTAGGCCATCCTCCTCATCGTCGTCGACGATTTGGGGCTGCTTGCGTGGCGGCACTTGTTCCTCCCTGGATCCACCGTCCCCGCCAGCAGCATCGCCACCCGAATTGAACTCTGAATTCTTGGCCGCTGGCTCCGTGTAATAGTTGGAGCCAACGAACTCATCATCAAATTCGGCAAAATCATTGTCATTATCGCCTTCCTCAAAGTCCGACTGCGCCTGGCAGGCACAAATGAGCGCCAGGAGCAGGAAGGCAAATACTGGCCGCATGGTTAACAAATACTTTTCACAATTGTTACGTTTTGTGTGCCTAACTAAGTTACAATTTCTCTAAATGTGCTATATTTTCACCTTAATTAAGAAAAAAAAATCTAGGTTAAATTTGGGCTAGGGCTGCAAAACCATCGATGGTTTTTCTTCGACTATCGATATATCGTCCGCGAGAAAAAAGTAGGATTTCGAAGACTAGAAAATTATAAGGATATGGAAAACTTATCTACCAACGAGAAACCTCGAACCCCATAAATAATTCCACGATTTGCATTTTTTTGATCAGTTTATCCACCCGAAAGGCTCATCTCTGCGAAATTTGCAAGGTAAGTGACCTGGATGAGGACGAAGTTTAGTAAAATACAATAAGTAATAAAATACAGAAATGTACAATTAAAACAATGGTTGATGATAAACAATGGGTGCTAGGTATGTAATAAATTAATGAATACAAGTCATTTTCTTTCTTATTATGTTGAACCAGCCCTGCGTCCCCTTTTCAATCTTTTCCATAGCCATGCTGTCTATCGACTATCGATTTTCTTTTTGTAAACACGTTGCACTGGCGAATTTAGCATAAAGTGCGGAAATCTGTATAAAAAAATTGTTGTAAACAATTGCGACGTGCACTAATCGAAATGGTGAGTAATACCTGCTGGCGGGGAATCCGCACAGATCCCTCTTATCTTTGGATGCTGGAATCTATCAAACTGCCACGAAAGCATGCCGGCTGATGCAATATTTCCCGGAATTCTTCTTCATTCCATACGCACGTACATGTTTAAAAATGCAAATTTCCGTTAATGCACCAGGCGAATATCGAACGGAAAGGCACCTTCAAGGTGGAATACCTGCAGAAGATCGAGCGCGAAGTCCAGGAGCGCTGGGAAAAGGAGGGCGTCCATCAGACGGATGCGCCAGCGTCGCCAAAGAAGCAACAGTCGGAAAAATTCTTCGTCACGTTTCCCTTTCCTTATATGAATGGACGTCTGCATTTGGGCCATACATTCAGTCTATCTAAGGCAGAGTTTGCCGTGCGCTATCATCGCCTCAAGGGACGTCGCGTCCTGTGGCCCTTTGGCTTCCATTGCACTGGAATGCCGATCAAAGCCTGTGCCGACAAGTTGACGCGTGAAATGGAACTTTTTGGCTTTCCCCCCCAGTTTCCAGAAACGGTGGAGGAGGCGCCCGTTGAGGAGATCAAGTTGGAGATACCCAAGGATAAGTCGAAGGGCAAGAAGAGCAAGGCTGTGGCCAAGACGGGTGGCGCCAAGTACCAGTGGCAGATCATGCAGAGTCTGGGCCTCAAGGATGAGGAAATCAAAGAGTTCTCCGACCCCCAACATTGGCTGAACTACTTCCCACCGCTGGCGATACAGGACCTAAAGAGCATTGGCGCCCACATCGATTGGCGGCGCAACTTCATCACAACGGATGCCAATCCCTTTTTTGATTCGTTCGTCCGCTGGCAGTTCAATCATCTGAAGGAGCGCGGCAAGATTATGTACGGCAAGCGATATACCATCTTCTCGCCCAAGGATGGACAGCCGTGCATGGACCACGACCGTTCCTCTGGTGAGGGCGTGGGTCCCCAGGAGTACACTCTGATTAAAATGAAGGTGCTGCAGGCACCCAAAGTATTGAGGTTTGAAATAGACATTTTTGCCCTGCTTCAATCATGATTCAAGTGGTGTTTCTTCTGCAGCGCTATCAAGCAACCCATTTACATGGTGGCTGCCACACTGCGGCCGGAGACAATGTACGGCCAGACCAACTGCTGGCTGCATCCCGACATCAAGTACATTGCGTGGCAGACCTCCCGAGATGAAGTTTGGATCAGCACTCGTCGTGCTGCGCGCAATATGACCTACCAGGGATTCACCGCCGAGGAGGGCAACATTGTGGTCCTAGCCGAGATCACAGGCCAAGAGCTGTTGGGTACTCCATTGTCGGCTCCCTTAACGTCCCACAAGATCATCTACACGCTGCCCATGCTGAGCATCAAAGCAGACAAGGGCACGGGTGTTGTTACCTCAGTGCCCTCCGATTCTCCCGACGATTACGCTGCTCTGGTGGATCTTCAGAAGAAGGAGGCGTTCCGCCAAAAGTACGGACTCAAGGATGAAATGGTTCTGCCCTACGCACCCTTCCCTATCATTGAGGTGCCTACGCTTGGCAAGCTTTGTGCCGTTCATGCCTACGAGACGCTCAAGATTCAGTCACAAAACGACAAGGAGAAGCTAGCCGAAGCCAAGGAAATGTGCTACCTGAAAAGTAAGCGACCTTATAGAGATTCATATTCCATATTAAATTTGGTGTCCTTTCCTTAGGCTTCTATGATGGCATCATGTTGGTTGGAGAATATGCCGGCAGCAAAGTCCAGGATGTCAAGAAGAATCTGCAAAAGAAGATGGTGGATGCCAACGAGGCGGAGGTATACTATGAGCCCGAGAAGACCATCATATCGCGGTCGGCCGATGAGTGTGTGGTGGCCCTGTGCAATCAGTGGTACATCACCTACGGTGAACCCGTTTGGAAAGCGCAGACCGTTAAGATACTGCAAGACATGGAGACCTTCCACGAGGAGGCACGCAACAATTTCGAGGCGTGTCTGAACTGGCTGCACGAGTACGCCTGTTCACGCACCTACGGACTGGGCACCAAGCTGCCGTGGGACGAGCAGTGGCTGATTGAGTCCCTGTCAGACTCCACCATCCACATGGCATACTATACAGTCGTGCATCTGATACAGGGCGGCAGCCTTCGTGGCGAGAAACCCGGTCCCTTTGGTATGTCCCATTGTGGGTCCATTTAATCTCCTAGTGTGTTAATATGTTTGTTGTAGGCATCACACCGGCTGACATGACTTCTGAGATCTGGGACTATATCTTCTTCAAGGATACACCACCCCCAAAGAAGTCCAACATTAAGCTAGAGCATTTGGCTGTGCTGCGGCGCGAGTTCGAGTATTGGTATCCCATGGATCTGCGTGTTTCTGGCAAGGATCTCATTAATAACCATCTGACCTTTACTCTATACAATCATGCGGCCATCTGGCCCAAAGATGACACAAAGTGGCCCAAGGGAATGCGCGTGAACGGCCATCTACTGCTTAACTCTTCCAAGATGTCCAAGTCGGATGGCAATTTCCTGACCCTAACCGATGCCGTGGAGAAGTTCTCGGCTGATGGCATGCGTCTGTGTCTGGCTGATGCCGGTGACAGCATTGAGGATGCCAACTTTGTGGAGAGCACAGCGGATGCGGGCATCCTGCGCCTATTTACATTCATCGAATGGGTGAAGGAGATGTTGGAAACGAAGAGCACCCTCAGAAAGGGCGCCGCCAGGACGTTTAATGATCAGGTATTCCTTAGCGAGCTGAACCTCAAGACGCATCAGACGGACGACAACTACCGGAAGATGCTGTTCAAGGAGGCCCTGAGGAGCGGTTTCTATGAGTTGCAGCTGGCCCGCGACAAGTACCGCGAGCTGTGCGGCACCCAGGGCATGCACGTGGAGCTGGTGCTAGAGTTCATACGACGTCAGGCTCTGCTGGTGGCTCCCATCTGCCCGCACATGGCAGAACACGTTTGGGGACTGTTGGGCAACAAGGAATCCATTGTCCACGCTCGCTGGCCCGAGGTAGGGGCCATCAATGAGCTCGACATTATGTGCTCCGAGTACCTCATGGAGTCGGCTCACGCCTTCCGTCTCAACCTGAAGAATCTGCTGCAGCTGAAGGCCAAGGGCGGCAAGGAGAAGGCACTGGATCCGCAGACAGCGAAACCCAATCGTGGCCTCATTTGGGTGGCCAAAACCTATCCGCCCTGGCAGTCCTGTGTCCTGGACACCATGAGGGAGCTGTTCAACAAGTCCAAGGCCTTGCCGGACAACAAGGTGATTGCTGCCACCCTCCAGCAGAAGGCGGAACTCAAGAAGTTCATGAAGCGAGTGATGCCGTTCGCTCAAATGATACGCGAGAAGGTGGAGTCGGGCAAGGGAGTGGCGGCCATGGCTGTCAACCTGGAGTTCGATGAGCGACAAGTGCTGATCAGCAATCTGGAGTACCTCAAGAACACACTGGATGTAAGATTATGCCTACAGTTAATATAGCTGTCCACTAACATTCACGCTTTCTCGCTTCATAGCTTGATTCTCTGGAAGTCAAGTATACCGATGATCCTTCGGCACCAGAGAAAACTCGCGAAGAAGTGCGCCCTGGCTCGCCTTTCATCAGCTTCAGTGTGGCCCCCAATGTCAGCGTTGAGCTGGTGAATCCTACAGAGCGTTCCTCGCTCTTCCAAGTCAACACCATCATCTCCGAGGGCGACACAGTACAGTCACTGCGTGAGAAGATCACCAAATTTATTGGGCTCAAAACGGATCAGTCTAATCTGAAAATCTGGCGCTTCGATGATCCCCGGCTGGGTCCCCGAAAGATACCCAACTTCGAAGATTACAAGACAGGCAAAACGTTGCTCAGCGAGGGAAATTTCATCCTGGATGTGGCTGCCAAGCGAGTGAGCGTGGAGCAGGGAGGCAAACTAACCGAAGTGGGTCGCAATCTGATCTATGTGGTGGAGTAGATGGATGCACGGCCGAGTGCATACTGAACTAATTTATTCACAAAGGGAATTTGTAACCTTGTAAACAAGTTGATGGTTATTAAAGAACTACCTTAATATACTGCCAAATGCATTTGACCCAATTAGACATAGACGCAAGCGACTTGATTACGAGCACCGCCGTGGCCCAGAAATTGTATTTTTAGAGAGCACATCCCATAAACCACCCCAAAAGTGCGTTGCATTCTTTGTCTTAATATTGCCTTAAAGTGGGTATGATGATTTTGAGCAGATGTTTGCAATATGACCAGGAACAATCAGACAAAAATCAGTATTTTAATATTTTTTCAAAGCTATGAGATTTTAGACAAGAAGACTTACGTCTTATTTCTTTAAAAAGAGGCTATCTTGTCGGCTATAAATCGGTCAGAAAACAAGTCTGCGAGAAAACCTTTTCTGTTTCTAAAGATAAATAACAAATATTAGAAAATAAAGTGTTATATAAAAATAATTTCTATATTTTATCTTATAGCTTCCTTAGGAACTACGGATCTAAAAGAGTATCAAATCCTTCGACTTCGACCTCTTCTTGTTGGATTTTGTGGGTCATTCGTCAGATAAGCGCTTCAGCGGTATCTCAGCGGGTTTTCTTGGACTCAGTGGGTGGCTATCTTTAGCTAAGAGCCCATCCATAGCATATATAAGGCTTTAACACCAAACGAATCCAAAGCAAAGTTTAGTTTCAGCGTGAAGCAAACATGTTGAGTCTTCGAGTGTTTCTCTTGCTTCAGTGCAGCATGGTGGTGTTTGGAGGCGTTTGCCTTATACCCCAGCCGATTATGCGACAGCGTTCCCTGAAGGATACGCTTTTGAAGACTCAACCCCGCCTGGATGGCCGCATTGTGGGTGGACATCGCATCAACATCACAGATGCGCCACATCAGGTGTCGCTACAGACTTCCAGTCACATTTGTGGAGGATCCTTGATATCCGAGGAGTGGATATTGACCGCTGCCCATTGCACATAGTGAGTAGGATGTCACACCACTCCTTTCCCCAAGGGCTTAACTCTTGTTTCTGTTTCAGTGGAAAGACTGCGGATCGTCTGAAGGTTCGCTTGGGCACCTCGGAGTTCGCTCGCAGTGGAGAGCTCCTCCGGGTCAAGCAAATTGTGCAGCATGCCAAATTCAACTTTTCGAATGTGGACTTTGACTTCTCGCTGCTGCAGCTGCAGCATCCCATTAAATTTGATGACACCAAAAGGGCCATCAAGCTACCGGACCCGCAGCAGACGCTCATGGACGGGGAGACCTGCTTTGTCAGTGGCTGGGGGAATACCCAGAACCTTCTGGAGTCGCGCGAGTGGCTGCGGCAGGTGGAGGTGCCGCTGGTAAACCAGAAGGTGTGCAGCGAAAAGTACAAGCAATATGGCGGAGTGACCGAGCGTATGATCTGTGCAGGGTTCATGGAGGGTGGCAAGGATGCTTGCCAGGGCGATTCTGGCGGCCCAATGGTCAGTGAGTCGGGTGTGCTGGTGGGCGTTGTCAGCTGGGGCTATGGCTGTGCCAAGCCTGACTATCCGGGCGTTTACTCTCGAGTGGCATTTGCCCGCGAGTGGGTGAAGGAGCACAGTGGCATCTAGCATGAAAGTTCTTCAATAAAACGCAAGATAATCGATTTAATGAAGGGGCGTTTTATAATCCGTTTTCCTTCAAGAGGACTCCATGCACACGTTGCCAGCACGCAATGTACTTGCCAGACATGCGAATGTCTTTCCCCCGTCTGCACATTTTGCTGGCAGCGGAGGTCGTTGTGGTGGCATCGGCAGTCGCGTTGCTGGCGCAGCTCCATGGGGCACATTTCAGCAGCGGAGGTCGCTCCACGACTGCGGCGTGTGCTTCGGCGCATGACATATAACTGCGATGCATCTTCATAGTTCGCGTCTTGGATTTTGCAGCTTGGAAGGGGAGGCTCACGTTCTGGAGCTCTTGTTCATTCTTGTTGTCATGTGTGTTACATGTGGCGTATGCGCATTATTCGTGTTATGTATACAAAAGGAGTACGAGGAGACAAGTACTCTGTTTGTAACATGAACATTTTAAAATTCATTTTATTTATTGCTAATCCCCTCACTGCATTGTGTTTTTTTAGTGATAATTTAGTTTGTCAAATTAACATTATCTGTTCCATAATTCGGATGTATTGTAGATAGATATACTTACGTACTTATACGAGTAAGTCCTTGGCACTGACATACGGGAGGAATGGCCGGGTGATCACATGACTTACATGATGCCAAGCGGAAAGGTTCTATGCAATTGATAACTCTGTTCTGCGCTTCTAGAGGCTAATATCTGTAAATATAAAACATATTTCACTTTTCTTTTCATTTCTTTAAATCGTTCTGAATCACTTTATTATTAATGACGAGACGCTTTACTTCTTCCCTTTGATGGATATACGATTTATCTTCCTGCAGATTGAAGATTCAAAATGAAAGCTAAAAGGTTATTGATTACTCTGATATGTTCCACTGAAGATCACACTTAAAAGACATATTCTCCAGTGACCCCAGGTCACTTGGGGTCGAATAAAATTGTATTCTTATTTTTTACTATAAACAATATAATAGATACCTGTGATTGGTTCACTGGTTTCCAGGATCTCTTTAAGGCCATTTGTTATCTCGTTTGTTGCCACTGATCGATTATATAACTACCTATAAATATCAATGATCTGTCCTTGACAGTTGGCCTCCTTGCGATCCTATTAAGCAATACACAAGACATAATTACACAAGATCAACAAGAAATATTATTCTCAATGGAATGTTTTACTGATTAGTTGGAGTAGTGATAGTACCTAAATCCTCCTACAGTACTGAATATTATTTAATCAATCTTTCATGCTCCCCGAAGCATTTTCGGGTTTCTTGGTGTTTAAATGCCCCATAATATGATCTCCCAGAGCTTCTCGCAACAGCACTCTCACACAGACATGCATTCATGTGATTCAATAAGATATTCGGACCAAGTCGATGACAAGTGCCTGTTGTTTTCAACGTGTGTAGTATTTATGTGTGAATGAAAATTGGAGAGCCCAAGGTGGGATACATAGCGGCGACAGAAGAAGTGCGCCGCCCCATTCCCATTTCATTGATCCCCACAGTTCATTTTCAGCCGCGAATTGGTGACGACGCGTCGCGTTCTGGGGGCTCTCTCTCGCGCCGTAGAGCGAAGTCCAAGGTATTGAACCCACTCTGTCGCAGTGCATAGACCTCCTCCTCCCTCCTCGTGTTCGTCTTCGAGAACCAACTGTTGATTTCCTGCTAGAGGATTAGGCAACAGAAGTCAGCAGTCGGCAATCATCATTCAGCAACGTCATAATCATTCAGCCAAAACCGAACCCCCAACACTGTCTAATCGCCTCCCGTTGCGTTGCGAGCTAGCCAAGGGAAAAGCGTTTAAAGCTTTGAAATAGCAATGAGTTTACACTGAGAGAAAAGGTTCTAAATGGAGTTAGATTAGAGGAATTCTGATAGCTTTAAGGATTGTTGGTTAAAATACATTTTTTCACTTGAAATATGTGTTTATATTATAAAATAATAATTTTTTGAGTCAACAAATTTTAAATTGTGAATCTATGTGTTATTTGTAAAATGTAGTACTTACGAGTATTTTGAACCTAAAACTAAAATTATATACATAAATGAACTTATTATTTTAAATATTTTAAGCATATGTATAATTATGTATGCTAATATTGGTGGACACCTTTAATAAAGAAGTTAGTGCTGTAATCTTTAGATTATAGCCAAAATAGTTGGTAATTGAATATTATAAGCTAATTCTAGAACAAATTTCCGCATTCAGCATTTATATTCTGTACTTCAATCTTTTTCCTTCCCCACTTTAAAATAGATATTTAATTATTGATCCAATAATATTATATTTTCGCCAGTGTATCTGAATTTGTTGCTGGCATAGCTGTTGCTGCCTTGTTATTCATGGTTATCGAACACTCTCATCCACTAGACAAACAAACGTGCCGCACGTTGTCGCTACACGTGAGTGGGGGCACTGTCTCGCTGAGTTAGAGTGAGATGCCCAAAGCAGAACTTTGCGTCGCTCTCTCGCAGACAGAACAGCAGTACACAGCGCCACACGAATGCGGGGCCCGACGACAACTTGTGGCTCTGGAGGGAGGCTTCGGCTTTGGCGTCTCATGCGGTTGCAATGTGAATGGAGAATATTGGGTGTTCGTGTGGGTGTATCTACCGTGTTCGGGCTGCTCGACGAGTGATGTGGCGCTGTGGCTGCAGCAGCGGCTGAATATAAGTAGCAGTAACTCTCAGAGTTCCATCAAAGCGGTTCGATTCGCGCAACAGCAAACATACACCCAGAAATATAATAGCAAATATTCATAATATTCAACAAAGTATTTAAGATATTGCATCTATTATATTTATTGGGCTTACCCTGATAGTAAGTTTTACATTATAAATTATAAAAGTTTGTTCAACATTGTTCCAAAAAGTACAATCATTTCAAATGCATTCGGTAAATGAATAGCTAAAATATTTCAATCTTGTAAAAGTGTGTGCATATATTCATGTTTTGGCTTGGTATTGGTGCAAGTGAATGACTATGACTATGTCTCTGTCCCTTTCTGAAAAAAGGCAGTAATCGAGAAGAGTGGAATTGTAAATACGCAGTTGTTTGATTGTGTATGAGACAAACTTTAAAATAGAATATGCAAAGAAAGATAACTATAATAAGTGAGGAATGACTAGACATGAGATATAAAATATAAAAGTGAAACATATAATATGACCTATAGTAAATCTAATCAAAATTTTAATTATTTACAAAGTATTTTCAGAGCTACATAAAAAATCAGAATTCTCAAAATATTTGGTGTGATTTTTCCTGCCACAAATATACATAAAAAACATATACTAGAACAATTACAACCAGATAAATCGATCAAGTGCATGGCAACGCTCAACAAAATCTACCAGACATATTTCGCAGAACTTAAATCACTCTCAAACCACGGTGGAAAACCAGACATATACCCAGACAGAGGCAGAAGAAAATACAATCCGGTAAGAGACAGAGACCTCATAGAGAATACTGATAGCACTAGGACAGGGCGGGTCGAGGATACTAAGGCATACACGACCTATCACAGTCGGCAATCACGTAGCACAGCCCCTAAAGCACAAAAAAGCTGAGAGATAAAGCTTTATTTTGCGCTACATTTAAATAAGAATTAAATATATGTTTTAGTGTGAAATTGAATAATATTAAAGGGAGCTTTATGTACAGATATGTTCCACATTCTTGCCCATTCTTTCCAAGAAATGGGAAAATTCACATCCAAATTCTCAGCCCGAACACCCAATATCTTATGTAAGTGGCAGTCATTGAACTGCCTGCAGTTAACAGAGTTGGAGGCTTGGCCTCCAATTGATTGGCTGTCAAAAGCAGTTCCACAAACATCAAACAAATTGGGGGGGTTTTGGTACCTTGCCTGTCACTCTGGTTTGCTTGTCCCATTGCCACACATACAGATACTATCTGGGGCCCCTCCATTTCAACCTGGGTTTTAAGCATCTCCTTCACCCCGACACATTTGATTTAAAAAATATTTATTTATTTTTCTATCTTCGATTTCCGTTTAAAATTCTAAATCCGAAGTAGGTAGGTCTGGCGTGGAATTGCTTGAATGAAATGTTTATTCCTTTGCAACCTTTTTCTCAGTCAGAAGTTCAGTCATGAATCCAATGCGCATATCATTTGTAGTTTTTTTCAATTGGTTTCGCTACGAGTTTTATGTAAGTTTCATTCTATGATTTCATAACCAATCGGCGGAAATGGTATTGGGGTTATTTGCAATTGAGATCGATGGATAAAATGTGGTTATGGATTTGATTGTTATTTGCATTTAAGAGTATTTTTTGGCAAAATTTAAATTTCTAGAGGCTTTATGCTATTTCACATAAAGCCTCTAGAAATATAAAAAGTAAGTGCGAGAGATATACATATATGTATGTCAGAAGATTAGTTTAAAGATTATACTAGATTATACCGAAAAGACAAAAGTAATTAAAAGGTGGTGCAGACCATGCTGAAGGGCTTGAAAATTTGTCATTGAAGATAAAATTCTATCTTGGAAAAAGCTTTAATTAGAAGAAGATCTATCATATGTATATTTCGATCGATATATATTTTCCTTATTTATGAATTTTACCTTTAAACTTCATTCTTATATGATATTCTCCTATTTCCAACCTTTTAATTCTCTTAATTAAATATCTATTCCTTTTAAATTTAATTTATCAACTAAAGAAGGGAATTATTTCCTTCATCTCCCCTAATGTATTTTCAGATGCGTGCCATTTAACGTGCTCGCCTAAAAGCTTGCCACAAAATTGCTATGCCACTCAGAGTTTTGCTGCAAATGTAGGATTGCCTATTAGCCAGGAAAATCTACTTTACCATCAGAACAAAGCGGGAAAAAGCCATTTCAAAGTCAGTTAAGAGGAAGCCACAAAAACGGGGGGAAACTAGGTGGAGCTGGTGGCATTTTTCTGCTGCCTATTCAGGCGCTAAAAATATCTCAATGGGGGGTCTCGATAGCACCTCAATTGTTTTCTGTCTTATGTTGCTGTTTCTCCTACTGCCACACATCCACTGGTGCCACCGTTGCCCCTACCCTTCAGCTGAAAATTGTTTACACAATCAATTTGAATGTCTGTGTAAGTCACATGCGGCTACATGCCGCCCCTTTCGTAGCTTTTCCTTGGTTATGTTTACATCGCCTCCTTTGCCTCCGCTTCAGCTTCCGACTTCCACTTCGACTTTGACTGGGCGAAGGTTGGCTTCGGGAATTCTCTAGCTGGGAAAGTGTTGTTTCTGGGAATTTCCTTTAGCCCTGCACGACGGGTAGTAAATGGGCAGCACGCACCTGGGCACGTGTATGGGATTCATATTTCGATTCATATGAAAATCTTGCAACGACGAGTTGCGAGTATTCGCGAGTATTCGATTGTCACATGCAGTCGACTCTTTAGGAACTTTGGCGTTTGGCTTTGGTTTCAGTCCCTGAAGAGGAGCTAGAGGACATTGGGTGGAGAACGATAAATATTTTCAACCCTCTCTCTCGGCTCTCAGAGAGACAAGCGCAAGAAAGAGACAGCACTCTTTGACAGTTGTTGTATACTGAAAACATATCGTCCTCAAAAGAGAGCAGATGTCGCGATAAGACTACCTTATATAGTTGTACCAAAGACTAAACAATAACAAGATGCTGCATGAGCGACCAAAAAACCGGTTCTATGGCGGGGCTTATCGCTACGCCTCCTAGACAGAGGGAGCGCGCTGGGTTTTAATTCTCTTTTCAGCTATGCATCGTCTCTCACCGCTTCGTCTGTTCGTTAGCGACGAGCCTCAGCGCATGCATATGCACAGTGGGGCCCTGCCTGCTCCAGCTGGCTAAATTAAGAAGCGAATAAGAGTTCAATAAATTGTTTCACATTGACACCGCCATCACACTGAAACAATTTTCAGCTTTGAGTGCTTATACCTCCTCAAATAAAACTATATTAAAAATAAAATTTTAGAAAGCTTTTGGTAAATTTGCCAAAAGATGAGTATATAATTTTTTTAACTGTGTTATCCCACTGTGCCACGCCAAAGACTTTGGCATTACCCGTAGCATTTCAGAGCCTAAAAGAGAATCGAAGTAATAGTAGATGAGCAAAACCAAAACAAAAGTGCCAAAAGTTTTTTTTAGTTTTGTTCTTTTGATGCCAAAATAATATTTGGAAAATCAATCATGCATATTATGGTGAAGGTACATATTAATATAGGTAAATTTTGTATTAAAACATAGTCTATTTCTCTCTTTATTTACAGTTACAAACTCACAAGGGTACAAGAATCTTTCATGCTCAAGGCTGACAATGAGCACAGGAATCATTCAAGATCAGCTCAAGATTAAACACGACTACAATTTTATATAGAGAATATAGAAGAAAGGTTATGGATTGGTTACTCGCAACGCCGCAGTTGCACAGCGCCTTCGCTTCGCTGGGGTCCCTGGAGGGCGACACCTACGTGGTCAGCCCGAATGCATTATGTAAGTAAGCGAAGGACATGCTATCAAACGAATTCTATAAGATGGATATCCCTTCTTTAGCCATTCTAGAGGAGATCAACTACAAGCTCACGTATGAGGATCAAACGCTGCGCACCTTCCGGCGCGCCATTTGCTTTGGCCAGAATGTGCGATCCGATTTGATTCCATTGCTGGAGAACGCCAAGGATGATGCGGTGCTGGAGTCTGTCATCCGCATACTGGTCAACCTCACAGTGCCAGTGGAGTGTCTGTTCTCCGTCGATGTGATGTATCGCACGGATGTGGGTCGTCACACCATCTTCGAGCTGAACAAGTTGTTGTACACTAGCAAGGAGGCATTTACCGAAGCCAAGAGCACCAAGAGCGTTGTGGAGTACATGAAGCACATTCTCGAGTCCGATGCCAAGCTGTCGCCGCAAAAGTGCGACCAGATCAACAACTGTCTGCTGCTGCTGCGCAACATCCTCCACATACCGGAGACGCACGGCATCTGTGTAATGCCAATGATGCAGTCGAACAATCCGCACGGCATCACCATGCAGAACACCATTCTCTGGAATCTCTTCATCCAAAGCATTGACAAGCTGCTCATCTACCTGATGACCTGCCCGCAGCGCTCCTTCTGGGGCGTCACCATGGTGCAACTGATCGCTTTGATCTACAAGGACCAGCACGTGAGTACTCTCCAGAAGCTGCTCAATCTCTGGTTCGAGGCTTCGCTGTCGGAGAGCTCCGAGGACAATGAGAGCAACACCACGCCCCCGAAACAGGGCAGCGGCGAGTCCAGTCCCATGCTGACCTCGGATCCCACTGGATCGGATTCATCGGACAATGGCAGCCAGGGACGGAGCATGAGCATCAGCATGAGCCTCAGCATGAGCATCAGCATGAGCAGTCTCTGTGGCAAGAAGGAGACACCAGAGGAGCGGCAGCAAGCCTTAAGGGATGGCACTGAAGCCACACTTCAGGAGGTGAGCCGCAAGGGTCAGGAGTATCAAGATGCCATCGAAGCCAAAGAGCGCATGGGATCTCCCATGGATGATGTGGAGGACTATGAGGAATCAGACTTCATACACAGGCAGCTCCAGCGAGCCAGGCAGACAGAGGAGGAGGAGGACGAGGAGTGTGACAACGAGGTAGCTGCCGTGGCCTCGGAACCCTTAAATCTTATAACACAACCAGCTGACAATGTCAACGACACTACCAGAACCACAACGTCCGTATCGACCAGTATCATGCCGTTCCGAGCACCGCTGCCCGTGGGCAGTCGGCCATCCTACTCACATGCCCCACCGCAGCACCAGAGCTATGCTGCCTATGTGGCAGCCATCAAGCTAAGCCAAAAGTCCCCACATGCCGGCAAGCTACAACTGACGAAGGGCAAATGCTGTCCCCAGAAGCGAGAGTGCCCTTCCTCGCAGTCGGAGCTTTCAGACTGTGGCTATGCCACGCAGGTGGAGAACCAGGAATCCGTGTCAACCTCCAGCAATGATGATGACATGCCGCAGGGAAAGCCACTCCACCAGAAGCCGCCATGCAACACGAAGCCGAGGAATAAACAGCGTCTCATCCTCAGTCCCCTGGACAAAAAGGAGCTACGACGCAAGAAGCTGGTGAAGCGCAGCAAAAGTAATCTGTGAGTATTCATCGATTATTGGAATCGAAATGAATCATCTAACTTTTGTTCAACTACCTTTGGCAGCATCAACATGAAAGGACTCGTGCAGCATACACCCACTGAAGATGATATTGCCAATCTGCTGAAAGAGTTCACTGTGGACTTTCTGCTCAAGGGCTACAATTATTTAGTGGAGGAGCTGCATGCTCAACTGCTGGCCAATACGGTAAGTGAAAACCAAAAGCCCTTCCCAAAACCTATCCACTAATCCATTGATTTCTAACAGCTACCCATTGATACGTCGCACTTTTTCTGGCTGGTCACGTACTTCCTGAAGTTTTCTGCCCAACTGGAGCTGGACATGGAGCACATTGACACCATACTCACCTACGATGTGCTTAGCTACCTCACCTACGAGGGTGTCATGCAGTGCGAGCAATTGGAGCAGAGTGCGCGGCAGCGAGACAGTGACTTGAAGCCCCATCTGCGACGCATGCACCTGCTGGTGACAGCCATCAGGGAGTTTCTGCAGGCCATCGAGACCTACAATAAGGTTACGCACCTTTCGGACGATGATCGCGATCATCTGCGACAGCTGAAAATCCAAATTGCTGACACGTCCGACCTGCATTGTCTGTTTGTGCTGCTGCTGCGACGCTTCAATCCCACCATCCATTCGAAGCAGTATCTGCAGGATCTGATCGTGACCAATCACATACTTCTCCTTGTACTGGACGAGAGACCAATGCTTGATGGCAAAAAGACCGAAAATCTAATGCAGCACATTGCACAGTAAGTTTAGAGACTCTTTTTATTCCTGGAAGATCACTCAATAAGTCACGGTCCATAGATTTGCCACTCTGGAGGTTATGCATTACTATGGCATTCTTTTGGAGGACTTTACCAACAATGGGGAGTTTGTCAACGATTGCATCTTTACCATGATGCATCACGTGTGTGGAGACTTAGGACAGATTGGTGTCTTATTTCAACCGATAATTTTGAAGACATATTCACGCATTTGGGAGACTGAATTCGGTCTGTGTGATGTGAGTTTTAAATAAATATTTATCCCCTGGAATGTGTTTACTTATTAAGCAATTCATTTTCTTCCTCAGGACTGGTCTGATCTTATCGAATACGTCATACACAAATTTATGAATACTCCACCCAAAACACCCATGACTATACCCACAACATCGCTGACAGAAATGACCAAAGAGCATAATCTGGAGCATACTATATGGTAGGGTTTAGAGTGAGACTTTCATCTTATATATTTTTTCTAATATTTGCTCTTTCAGCTCTTGGAATGCCGATGAGATGGATACCCTGTATTGGTATTATGTACAGAGCAAGAGCACCAATGATTTGGTTGGCAAAATTGTCAGACTCTTTAACAATAATGGCAATAAAGTCAAATCTCGCATTTCAATCATTCAGCAGCTGCTGCAACAGGTAAGAAAATCCCTAAAAATAATCAAAAAAGAGTTATATTCATGGACTACTAATTTCTTGAAGGATATCATAACCCTACTGGAGTACGATGACCTGATGAGGTACGAGGATGCTGAATATCAGAGAACTTTGTTGACCACACCCACATCGGTGACCACCGAATCGGGAATAGAGATGAAGGATGGCGGTTTTGGCAGGCCATCTGATGATATACAGGTACTAAATAGATTTCCCCCCAAAAGAGAGGCTTATCTAATCCAAATCTCTCTTTATTTAGATTCTTCTGGATCTAATCATTAAAGATAAGAAGAGCCAGCACTTGGAATGGGTGCAAAAGGTGCTCTTAGAATGCTGCTACATCAAATTGAATCTCAAGTCAGGCAGAAAGATGGCACACATTATGGAACCCGTGGCCTATCACTACATCATAAAGCAAAAGTCCATCCCTGTGGTGCAGTGGAACAACGAGCAGTCGGCCACGCTGCTGTATCAGCCATTTGTGTTGCTGCTGCATAAGCTGGGCATCCAGCTGCCTGTGGATGCGGGCTCAATCTTTGCCAGGATACCAGACTACTGGTCCCCCGAGAAGATGTACGGGCTGGCCATGAAGCTGGGAACCGTAGATAAACGTGAGTTTCGATCCCACAGATTCCAAATCCCACATAACCCGCCAAATGTCTCACTTCTTGCTCAAAATGTTTTTGGGGTGATGTATAGACCGTGTTATCAAATACATTTTGTTCATGCTCCAAAATTTTGATCATGGGAATCCGCCTGAGACCACCCTTCCCCCAAAGTCCGTCCCCACCTGCCCACCTACCTGCCTCACTCTCTCATTGTGTCTCTGTGGTTTGTGTGTGTATCTCGATATGCTCTGTGCCTCTCTCCTTTCTCTCCATCTCGATCTTATAGACGCCCTCAAGTTCGACGCCACCGAAATGGAAGAAGCCGCCGCGGCCAGTGCTGCCTCGATGCATCGATGCCATCATAACACGGGACCCCGCAATTCGCTGAGCTCACAGAGCAGCCTGGAGGTGGATCTGGGTGATGCAGAGGGTGAATTATCCCTCATTCCCGAAGTGGATACGGCCGTGGAGAAGGCCCATGCCATGGACTCCAGCTCCAGCTCGAACAATGAGTTTTTTGCAGTGCCCAGAGTTAAGACAGCCAATTCAATGATTAGGTGAGAATATTATCTGAATATATCTTTCAACTTTTACTCAATATATTTTCTTTTTTTACTCGTTTACTCTGAAGATATACACCCGATCCCACGCCTCCTGTTCCCAATTGGCTGCAGTTGGTCATGCGCAGCAAACGGAATCCACGCTCCGGTCCCCTTGGAGAGATCAGTGATTGGTGAGTGGAAGAATAAGCACCCATAACCCCACCTAACTTAAAAAAAACAATGCTGGAAAAATCTTCAGATTTATGGCACACGGCAGCTGCTCTAAGGCTCTCAAAAACATATTGTTAACATGAGCCTCATGCTCTCTCTCTCTCTCTGGGTCTGTCTGTCTCTGGCCAAAACTTATGGCAAATTTATGAACTTTAAGCCCCGTTTGGGGTCTGTCAGGTCTCCTAAATCCACTCGTACATTTACTTTCGTGTGTTGACAGTTGTTGTCGCCAGTTGCGCACTAAATGTCAGCTCCGTTTTGGCCATTGTCTGGCTCCTAGAACACCCCCCCTCCCTACCTAACCATGGCCAGGCCAGCCATCTATATAGAGATATGTGGTCATACATAAAGGCATATACCTCATCCGCTTTGGTGGACCCCACACGATCACCCGCTGCTCCTGCCACGGCTGCTGCTGCTGCCGCTCATGTTGAACAGCATTTTGCATTTGGTTTTATGACTTTTCTTGTATGGCTTTTTGTTGTTAGACCAAGATTTTAGATTGCCGATAAATTGCTGGATATACCGATTACAGGATTAAGATGAAAGGGATATTGTGTTTGAGGCTGAGCAGGAGTTCAGCGTTCTAGGATCCCTTTAAGGAGAGTTCGGAAATGGAATTAATAAAAGGGACAATGAAAGCTACAGAAAATTAAACCAAGACAGATGTCTGTCAAGAGTCGTTTAATCTGAGTAATCATCTAAGAACTTATTACTGTTTTCCTATCGATGGGTATTCCCGAACTCCCGACTCCCCCCACATTTGGAACAACTTAAAGCAGTCCGTGTTTCTGTGAGAATCATTTACACCTCGGACAAGTTTTGGCGAACAGCTATCCAACAATCAATGCTATCCATGAAATACATGGGCCTGACCTCTGTCAGCGCACCCAACGGAATCAGCAACAGCAGCCGCAACACGAAATGAAGTCATCGCGATTAGCACGCGCAGCCAGAGACCCAAACACATAGTCACAGTTATAGCTATAGCTGTTGTATCTGATAGATACCACATATAGAGTCGGCTGTAGCTCACACCCTACATGCATAAATTGTCTGCATGATAATCTCCAGAGCTGCTGCAGCTGCTCGAAGTCCAAGCGAGTGTAAATCAATCAATTCATTAAGCTTATAGGCCACTTTAACTTTAATAATCTGATCGAATAATCCGAAAATTGTCCATTGTTGGAGCACTAATAAGAAATTTGAGCTTAGTCAGAGTCACCCCACCCCTTAATCACCCACCACCGAAAACACCGAGCCGAAAAAAAACAATCCTCTGAAAATGACATTTAGCGGAGGTTACACTCTCATCTCTGACGATTTCATCCTTAGCAGAGGCCAGGCAACAGCCGGTTTCGGTTCTTTGACCCCCATGAGAATTACGAATTACAAACAATCAGAACCAGTTTAAGACTAAAATTTACATTTTTTATGTGCGTCTCTGGCTCTGAGTTCTGCGTTCTGAGAAATATTTTTGCTGATATTTTATTTATTGTATGGTAGTGCATTCTCTGCCCCTTAGACGCAACCTCTTCGCCACTGTCAAACGAGTTTCTTGTTCCTACTAAAATTTTGTAACTGCTTTTTATATGGAAAGTAAAAGTCAAATGTTATGCGATCTCCGATCCGCAATCCCCAACTACGGTCAGAGGCCTCCACAGGGAACACCGCAATGGCAGGTAGGCAGTGCGTGAGTTCCCCAGTTGATTTGGGAAAATGAGGCAAACAAGTTCTTTTTATTAGTTCAGCGATACATAAAAAGCCACTTAACTGGAAAACTGACTCAATAGTTTAGTTAGGTCGTTGGGCATTACTTGGAGAATGAGCAAAACGCAGTGTGAATTTCCCTGGTGTTGGCAAGAAGAGAGAGTTATTCTTGGCACAAGTTAACCTAACAAAGAAAATCTTGGGATATCCATCATCTCCATCTGCATAGATCTTAAAATATTTATTTGTATGGAGCATTTGTTGCATCCTCCTTCATCATACGAAACCTTCTCTTAGAAGAGTAAAAATGTCTCAATCTTATTCAATTGCACAACTCTTTTCCAAAGCTTTGGCAAATTAACACGCAAGTGGGCACGAGTCAGCTCCATTTTTTTTTTTTGTATTTTTGCTTGTTGCCCTAGGGCCGTGGGCGTTGACAAAAGGCAATTTTCCAAAGTAATTTACTCTGAAGCCTGGAAAAAATTGAATTTGACATTTTTCTCATTTTTTTGTTGTTTTTTGCTGTTTTTTTTTCTTCTCTTTCGTTTGCTATTTGTTGTTCAACCCACAAGGAAGCCAAAGTCAAAACTTCAGCGTCGGGTTGCACTTTTCAGTGGCCCGTGGTCTGTGTATTGGACTCTCCGAAGTGTCTGCTAGTCGGTGGCAACACCAAGTGCAGCAGTAGCATGGGGCAGAAGACTACTTGCGAGAGGCATGTTTCGCTTTGGTTTTCCCAGCTTGAGTTCTCGACCTTCTTTGTGTTGTAGCCACCGATTTTGGGTTTGGCTTCGGGACTGGTGAATATAGCTAACATTTTGCATTATTGCCATGGCCGCTGTTGCTGTTGTTATGTGGGCTACAAAGTAATAAGTGCAACATGGACACCTATTGCTCTCTTGTCTCTGGCATACTGGAGTGTTGTGTGTTGTGTGCTGTGGATTTTCTGTTTGAAGTGGCACTGCAGCTCCATCAATCAGTCTCATAAATCAGTTTAATTATTAAATAAACAAGTTCCCAAAACAAAAACTGTAGCACCAATAGAGCCGTGCGCTGAGTCACTGGAGTCTCTACACCACTTGGTGGGGACGGGGACTGCCACTTTAAGTTGAAAGTGTGAGAATATATGGGATGGAGTACCAAAGGGTTAATTGAGCTACGATCAGCGATGAATTTTGGAGGGTGAAACATACTAACATCCCCACTAACCGATTTATGTTTTCTTCCATAAATTTCCAGTATTTCAAGCACAGCAACCATAACTGGCGATGACGAAAGCATGGGCAGCAGGACCGTGTGTCCCACCATGTATCAGACAGGACAGATGATGGCAATGACACCCATGCCACCCATGAATATTCCCATAAATCCCATCAATCCCAGGAGCACCATGCCCCGTTTGCACAGCATCATGGGACCGCATAACGAGAACAGCAGCAGCTCTGGCTGCGGCGGCACCGTTTACTCCCAGTCGATGGGTGTACTAATGACCACCTCCGCGGTGGGTGGGGCTATAATGCGCGGCGATGTGGAGGAGGATGCGGCAATAAAGTCATCGTTCGAGAAACTGGAGGTCACGGGCACACACTTTGCACGGGCCAGCCATTTGGAGGAAGAATACAGCGCAATGGTGGCGGCTGTCTACAAGAACGAGATCATCAAGTGAGTTCCACTACGAAAGCGAACTGAAAATCGAAAGCCGAAACAGAACCACCCAATCAACAACGCTAGAAGACCCATAGACCCATAGAGCCAGAGAGGCCGGGCCCAGGAGTTTCTCGATCAGCTAATTGACAATTGGACAGATTGCGCAAAAATGGCAGGCCCGGGCCATTGACAGAATGTCCGACTGTCGAACTGTCGGGACTGTCAATACTTAAATGTCTGGGATGCCAGGCACACATATCTGAACAGTGTCTCACATCAATTTATGGCAACCAATTATTCAATTTCAGCCATTTGCAACCAATATGGCAGGCAACTCCAAAAAAGATTTATCTAAGCTCTTTTTTTCTTGGTTTCGTAAGATTTCTTTTCTAGATTTCGTTCGAATTATTTTTGGATGCAAATTCTGCCTAGATTTTGGGCTAGTTTGTGATTTTCTGTTTGTTATCGTTGGGGTCTTGTGAAGATTGTTTCTCATGATGTTCTCATGATTATTGCAGCGACAATGTTTCAGTGGCTTCCGATCTGACGCGAATGTATGTGAGCGATGAGGATGTGCCCCGCTATCACGCTATCATTGAAAATCAGGAGAGCGAAAGGAGATAAAGGAAGGCAAAAGGAGAGAGAGTAGAAAGAGAATTGAGTGTGAGGCCCACAAAGCTGGAATGAAATGTACCTTAATATCGAGCCAATCTTAAACCCAAAAAACCAATCTACACATATACTCGTACTCGTATACAGAAAGATATTTACAGAAAGACAACACAAAACACTTATGGGAACAGAAATACCTGAACAATCAGATATGTAGAGAAAATCTATGCAAATAATAATATACCTGATCAATCAGGAATGACACAAAGTGCATTATAAAAATGACAAAGAAAAGTCTAAAAATAGAAATGATGGTGGTGAGGCCCCAAAGATTATTTTTTAGTATAAATTATATTTAATTTAAATTTTAAGATTAGTTCTTAGTTCCGTATTGTATTCCGTAAGCGTAAACCTACATATACCTATACCATACCTATATAAATGGGCAGTTCCTGGTTGAATAGTGCAAATATACACACAGATAAATCTATTTACAACAAAAATCCCAAAGTAAGCTTGTAGAAGTGCACCCCATACATACATATAAATATATTGTAACCAACATGAAAAACCTAACCATGTGTGTACGTAGATGTATAACCATAAGTTATGCTTAGAGATGTTGTTCTACTAATAAAGCTTTTTATGTAGTAAAAGCTACAAATCTTTGTCTCCGTCTGTGACTTTGACTAGGAATCTAAATCCAAATCCCAAGCCAAATGTGAATAATGTGCAGCAAATTGGCGGAGCCAAAAGATAAACGAGCTGTGGCCAGCAAAGCGAATTAAGGTCATTGGTTGACTTTGCGGTAAGGATTGTCTGATTGTGTGGAGGTTGGGCCGAGGAGACTCCACGCATGGCGCTCACAGAAAACGGTAGCAGACTCAGACAGAACAGAAAAAATATTATAAATAAAAATCTACTATTCAGCAGGCACAGTGCCAGTCCCCCGTACCATTCACATATTCGGTCTTTCAGGCCACACATAAATGGCAAAACATGGCTAAAACAATTACCAAAATGCGCCGGGCCACAACAATCGGCTTAGGCATAAGGCATAAACATAAGCATACTCGTAGACGTAGTCGTACAAAAAATAATAATAATAATTGTGGCCAATTGCTGCTTAGTTGGCCAGTTAATTGCAACATAGCCCAGACGACAGTCCCAGCCCCAGCCCCATTCCGTCTTAGACTCTACTCTCGATGGCCACCACGATCACTGCAGTTCTTAACTTGTAGAGTGGTTTATGTATTTTGGAAGGTAAGTGATTCACGGATCGGAACCAGTTCGGATATCAAAGTCTTATTTGGGTTCCGTTTTATTTCGTTTATTTCCTCATCGTCGATTCCATACAAGTTTTTAGCTTTTTATAAATTAGTACGCATATAAAAATCAATGATTTAATGTATCATCAATAAAATGTTTTATCAACATTAATTTCAGTGTAAAGATTCAAAGAAAACTATACCCAATTGTTAAATTTTTCCTAACACATCTGTAGGATGGGTCAGATTGTGTTGCTACTCCATTTCTAAATTCTTGGTTCTAATTTTGTTCTGATTCAAAAAGTTCCTACCATCGCCTAGCCCTGGACTCTATTGCTTCTTCTAAGATCAAATACGGCAGTTGACTGCATTCTCCCATTGTTGTTGGTATCTAGTCGTTGGTGACGGGCCAAACTGCATGTCTGAGCCAAAACTTCGCCTGCAAAGTACTCTACCCCGCTCGCCGGCCTCAGCTCAATTACCAAGACAAGCAGCTAATTTTATTTGCTGTAAACGTGCGCCTCCGTCATTAGATCTATTATTGGTGTATACGTAGCGGCTGCTGTGGTTCTCGAATGCTCTGTGTGGGAATTGTTCGATGACTTTGCGGGGACAGTCGGACTCTGCGAGATTGCGTGTCTGAGGGGCATTCGATTCGGCACCTTTGACAGGCCGACGACGCCACTCGTCAATTGAGTTGTCAGAGCCAGAAGTCAGAAGTGACAAAATACATTACTCAGGGTGGCTGTCTCTGAAAAAAACCCAGGGTGCTAATAGATGTGAATCCGAATCAAAAGCGGCTGAAGAAGCCGAAATTAGTTTGTTGAAATGCAAATCGAACAGGAAATCAATGTGCCTCCGATTTGAAAGTAAAGAAAAAATACAAAGAAGCTACAGCTCAAATAGCACAATGAGTCCGTCTGCGAATCGCAAAAACTTGTTAATTTGAAAGTTGAGTTCAAGTTCAGAAATGGCCACGACAACAGAAACTACTATGTCAGCAACAGGCAAGAGGTTGATATAATTTATATATCATACGTATACTATGATATTATTCCACATGTGGAAACCCCACAAATAGTCGTCAACACAGAGACCTACTGGGAAAGAAGAGAAAGATAGTCTTCAGGTAGCAGGAAAGGGATATTTAAGAACTACAAATACTCTATTCTATTGCACAATTGCAGTCTGGATGTCGTCTGGAATGTTTTTACCGAACTCGAACACAAACGAGAGTTGTGCTTCAAACGTGCTTCATGTAATAAAAAGTACATATGTATTTGTTGGGTTAAATAATTAAAATACAAATCAAGTCTAGTCAAAAAAAAGTATTGTTTGTCTTTAGTATTTTTCAATAAAAACAATGAAAAAACTATGAAGGTACTGATATGAGTAAATACTTAATCTTAAGATTAAGATTGAAGAAAGGTCATGAAACATTCGTAAATTGTGATTTTCCGTTAGCTAGGAGAAGACTGTATCTCAATATTCATTCAATATTAGGCCACTTTAGAAGCTACCAAATTAACCAAGAGTATACACACATTTAATTAAATTCCTTCAGCATTTTCTACTTTTCTGTGTAAAAATCCATCACATATTCATCATGCCTCTACCACATGCCCTACCCTACCTTGCTTTATTCCAAAACAATCGACCATCCTCAATGCCCGGTCAATAATAACTTTGATCTTTAGCCAATGAGACAACCCAACCTACATATCGCAATATTTTTTTTTGCTTAGGCATACAAAATAAAATAAACACAAGAGCAGAGCCATAATTTATGTAATAGGGAAATGTAAGACATTTAGATAACATTTGGCGAGACGTGGAACAGATATGGGAGTACTTGAGACCAGAGAGACTTGAGGAGTGGAGTCTTGGGACAGAGGGAGAGACAGGAGCAGAAGTCGAAAAAGTCGTGTCAAGACAAAGTGCAATAATTCACACTCACTTTTGGGGGTACGTTGTCGAAGGTATTTGACGGTTTAGAGGTGGAAACAACAGCACAAAACAGTTTCCGCATGGACATGCCCGCACTCTGGAGCCTCCAGATCAAGCAGATCCAAGTCGAAGGCTGAGGCTGAGGAGGGGACTGAGACTGAAACTGAAACTAAGGCAAAGACAGAGCCTGATGATTATGAAACAGTGTACATGCACACGGCTGACACTTAATATAGTTTATGACATGATAGACCCGAGCACCGAATACCGCCAAACCCATTGTCTAAATAAAGATATAAACAAGAAAGGCAAAGACACAATTTGAATTTACGATTTGTATGGATCGCGTTCGATTATGATTTGAAATATGAAATGTTGGACAAATTAAAAAGTGCCACTGGCAACACACAATTTTCAGATTTTCAGGTATCGATTTAGTTTAGTGGCCAACAGATTTATAGTGCAATTTAATCATGATTTATCCAAATGCCCATAAATAATAACCATGATTAGGTGGACGGGGGGAGTGGCCAACCACAGGGGAAAGACTGCCAGACTTTAATTGATTGCTGGCCAAAATTTAATTTGCCTGTAACAAAGGTCATGGGCAAGTGTTTTAAGATGATAATCCCATGGGCTATTTGCATACGATTTTAAGTCGATTTTTAGTCGATTTGCACCCCATCATCAGCATCGAATCGAATCAAAGTCTGGCTTCGGTGAAGAATTGAACCAAAAGCCGAAGCGAATCGCAAGCAGCCTGTAATCGACTTTGGCTTCGGCTGCGGCTTCGTGTATTCGTCGGAGAAGGTGGCTACTTCTACTTGGCGGTGCACAAAAAGTGGTTCAGTGGAGCAAGCCGCTTCAAACCGCTAGCGTCGCTAACGCGTCCCACCAAAAAAGAGAATACCTTCAACGATCAACGCGCGGAAGTGATAATAGAGAAAGGATCCATATTCTTATACAATTGTATCCTTTACATGGTGCGTGAAATTTTGTTGTGTTTCGCTAGCTGTTCAAAAGATATAAAGTCCATAACAAAACATATATATAAATATGTATAAACATATGTATGTAATTTCAGCTGTAGGCGTATACTAAATATTAGGAATACCAGATTTCATTTGGATACATCACAAAAAATTAAGTTTAAAATAAAAGTGAAGGTAAGAAGCGGCACCCGAGTGTTTCTCAGAGCCAGTTTGTGGCATACATTAAATTAATCTCTCTAACGAAAGGAACCTTTAAAAAAGGTGCAATAAATAAAACATATTATTGAATATAATTGGCAAAACGAAGAACGACAATAATTATGTTTTTGTTCTGATAGAAATTTCTATAAGTCAAATGTCAAGAATTGCATAAAATGGTACGAGAATATTTTTTGAAAGAGGTTGTCTATCGTTTATTAAAGCAGTGTTGAATCATTGGATATTTATGAACATTTTGTACCAGTTTGCCGAGTTTTTTTTTGCGGAAATAAGCTAAATATCAGATCATAAATTGTGTGAAATAATAAGCAAATCCAAGGAGAATTCTGGAACCGTACAACAGGGGAAATCAAAAGATACATTGTTGACATCGTTTGACAATTACAAATGTCTGTTGTACGATTATTATGGATTGCTCTCATTCGATTTGAATTGAATGGGATATTGAAACTGCACTTTAATCAGTCTGACAGACGTCAGACGGTGGCAGACAGAATAATTTGCATATTAATTTTAATTGAGTGAACAGCGGGCCCCCAGGAGACATCCATCGATAAAAGTTCACTTGCAATTGAAATGGAAAATGTCAGGCTGCAAATCGAAATAGAATTCAAATCCGAAATAAAGACATTGGCATTACAGCTGGCGCTCTGACTACGTGGTGGGTCCACACAAGAGACACAAGCAAAAAAAGAAAAGGTCGAAGAGAATAAATTTAAATACAATTGGGCAACCGTTTTGTTCGAACAAATGTGGTTACAGCAAAGTGTTTATTCGCTCTGAAAGCATGTTTGTTGCCCAAGTTTTTCGTTTTACGATGGCTAGACCATAAAATTATAAATTTATACCATCATCTTTTCGCTCACTTTTTTGAGCCATCAACCATCCCATCTACCACCTATCACAAGTTTCCGCCTGGCCAGTGACAAGCTTGGCAAATTGTTACAAACACACCAGAGTCAATGTCATTGGAAAAAAAACCAAGGCACAACCCACAAAGAAAAAATTTGCCAAATCTTTAACTGTATTCCATCATCAGAAATTTGCATATATGCAAATTTCATTCCCACGATTTTTAATTGATAAAAAAAGCTCTAAACAAGCAAAGGAAATGGAAATGCTCGAAGTGGACAAGGTCGAGTACGTGATATTATCAGCTGAAAATTTATCACTGATCAAGGCTTATTTAAGGTGATTTTAGATGGTCTAACTGGTAATGGTTTTGCTGATCCTAATATGAAGATTCGTCTTCATTTCCCCCCTAAGGTATCCTCTAAATTTGAAGACTGTTTGAAATGATTTGTGTTTACAAATGATATGAAGTAATATATTGAAATAGAGTATATATTTTGAAACCAGTTTGCAAAACCTTTCATCCCTTATCAATTAATTATGCCGACCAAAAATTGTGTTTAAATTAATCACCTTCATTTTAAAGAGTATTCTCACTTCGTCTAATCTAAATTCAACGTATTTTTATAGTTTCTTCCGTTTGCAAATCTTTGGGTCATTTTATTTAACACTATTTGCGATACAAAGCCATTAGACTTTGGCTAATTAATGAAGCAAATTAAATTGACATTCGTCAAATGCGATTTTATGCGAATTCTTTATAAAACCCTTGTAAGTTATGTCATAGTTATGCCCTCGGGCCAAGCGAAACAGGTGAACGAATGGTATATGGCTCTAATGAAATGAAATGAAAAGTTTGAGTGGTTGAGTGGAGCCCCGAGGTTCGGAGGCAGAGATCAGAACCAGGGTGAGGCACAAGCCAAAGTCTGAGGCTGCACCCTGAAATGCGTACAAATCCGTTGACATTTTTCCAGACACCAACATTACAAGACACCCCAGAAACGGAGACACGGGACAGGCCCTGGGACAGACATGTACTAATTGAGTTTCCCGTGCCCAGAGGTTCCATTAATTACTCCCGAGTGTTGCTGTAGTTGTAGCTATGGATGTAGCTATTGAGTGGCCGCAAGATCTAACTTTAAAGTTCATTAAGAGAAAAGATTCGGTAGGGCGGTACCAGACCCAAGACAAGACCCACCTCTGGTCTGGGTTGTGTAAGCAAATGGCTTGAGCCGAATCTTCACTGGCTAAATGTTCAATTTACAAATTAACCAAAACAAACATTTCTGTTCAAAAGTTCAATTACAACGGCAGCGGCAGACACAGAGTTGTGAAATCCCCCTGTAAGTGAATTCAATATCGAAATCGGAATTTAAAGCCCAAATAAACAATAACAAGGGCACCACAACGAATTAATTGAAAGTATTTACAACTGGCTAGCATTTAAAATTAGCCAACAATCGAAAAAATCAAATTGCATTGAAGACCACCGAAAGGAAAAACTGAAGACGAAAGGCAACCTGCCTTCTGCCTTCCCCTCCAATAGTTTTATCCCAAAATCAGTCGAGCCCCAGCGGGTGACTGGAGCTCGGAGACTGTGGAAATCTTTAGGCTGCTGAAAGGCTGTTCATCCATTGACCTCTGGCTAATTGAGAATTTGATTGAATGTTTTCCCAAAGTGATTCTGCATTTTATGAAAATTTTTATTATAACTTCACTGATGATCTGAATGGAAACATTTTCTTAAAAACTCATCAATATCTTGTAATTATAATGAGGTTTTAGGGGGGCTAACTCTGAAGTTAGTGTATCTCAATTTCGTGGATTGAAGGATGCGTTAAATAGCTATAAAGAAGCTCTTTAGAACGTATTTTTATTATAATGTATTGATAATGTTTATGTTCATTTCTAATTAATAGCTTTTTACTCCCACAGAAATGTTTGGCTAAGTAATTTCGTAAAATTTTTTCCAACAATGCGTTCTAACCGAAAGTGGTCTTTCCATAAAATCCCAAAAACTACCATAAATTGTGTTAAATTCCAACGATTTCTAAGCAGACCTCAATGCGATGCAACCTTTTGTTATTCATCCACTTTCGCCCTGGAGCCAAGATTCCATTGTTGGTCACTGCCAAAAAGTTCAAATTTCAAGAAAAAATTATGTACTGTGGGGCGAGTTCAAGTCGGTCAGGCTGTGGGGCACTGGGGCACGTCACGCACATGCCCCTTTCGATTTCATTCGAATCTCTTTCCTCAGTTCAATTACTCAATTCGAGTGCTGCGAGTACTGCTGCTATGTAAATTTATCGCTAACCGAAATTGAATTTGCATTTCTCAGGCAAAGTTCGTGATATGTCAACGGGCGTTAGAATGTGCTTGTCGGGGCAGCACCTTCCTTTGGAGGTCGACATGGCCCCCTCTCTCCTACGTGGGTGTGTGCTTATTTTAGTTCTTGCAAGTTGACACTTTTTGTAGAAACTTGACAATTAGCCGAAAACTGCCAAAAATAAATCATCAAACGACCGACGGTTAGCGGTGACATTTGTGATCAATTTTGTTTTTTTGTACCCATTAAACATAAAATGGGCGGGTATGTTCTGTTTGGGAGGCTGTATGTAACAGATGGAAGAAAGCATATATGGTTCTATAAAATATGTACATTCTTGCTCTGAATTAACAGCAATATCATTGTAATGCTTTCATTGTAACAAGTTTTTTGGATAATTTTGTTCGTTTCACTTCCGATTGGATTGCTTGCTATTATATCCAGGTACTAGGTATCCCCTAGTCGCAACATCGATTAAAACACTCAAAGTTATTTTCTCTCTGCTTTTTGTGCCTCTGTTTAATTCGGTTTTAATTGCTTTTATCAAATGCCAAGCGATGCTAATGCTCTGCTTCCAGCACACAGAATACGAATGATTTGGCAACGAACTTGATATTAAAACAAGTTGAATTTTGTTGAATCTGCCTTTCAGCGCAAAATCCTCACCTAACTCACAGATAGTTTTAGTTTTTGCTCACTGCTTAAATATATTTTTTACGGATATCTACGAAACTGCGAATCTTAATTGTTGTTGTTTGATTTTTTGTATGTGCATCGATGCTGCTGCTCTTTTTGTTGCTGTTGCATTTGCATAGCGGATTCGGCTAGTGGCTTTTTAGCGCCTGCCTGAAGTATGGAAACATTTTTATGGCATACACATGTTTTTTCTTGTTTTCGTATTTTTCATCGGACTTCTTTCGGTATCCAGGTCAAGTCGGCTCCAGTCATTTAATGCAAATTACGAGTATATTGGCCCACAGTGGTTCTCTTCCATGTGTCCACCAAGTCTCCCTCCCCTCTTTCAGCTCTTTCAACTACAAATTGCGTTTTGCTTTCAATTTAGTTTAAGTTAACGCACATGTGGGCGTGGTCGTTGCTTTTAATTCGAACTTTTCTATTCAACAAAATAATGTTGGAAAATTGTTCGAATGCGTAATGGAGTTTGCCTTGACCTGGAGTCTCACTTTTCGTTAAGACGGGTTTCCTTTACGCAAAATAAACTGTCGTTCAAAATTGAGTGGAGAGAAGCTAGACAAATTAAAAAGAATATAACGAATATTTTAGTCAGCTATGAGGGCATGAAAAAATTAATGTGAAACATAAATAGCATCTAAATTGATAATTTTGAGGAGTTTTATTTTTATTTTTGGGACTATTCATTATTTATAAATGAAATCGGATAATAAAAATAGAGTGCCAAAAATGTATCTAAAACATTGAAGAAATTTTTCGAATTCTCAAATTAAATTAAAAAGGCTTCAAATGCGAACCGAATAATCGTTAATTTATTCTATTTTGTATTTTGATTACAATCGGTTCGCAAATTAAATTGAATATTTAAACATATTTGCTAACTAACTTATTTAAAAGATTACCCTACTCGAAAGCCTTTTTTGTGGGCTTTATTTATTTACTTTTAAATTTTTTAAAGAACAGCGCTCGATGCTCAAAAAAGCTTTGATCTTTTTAAAAATTATATCCATTTATTTATTTGTGACTTCAATAACATATCAAGCTCAATGGCATTGAAACCGCTGTAAACTTCAATATCATGTATTTCAAAGGTCATTTATTACGTGAAGATTATTTGCTTTACTCTATTCGAGTATCCATTACCTTTTATTTACTCACAATTGTCTGTCCCATAAAACAAAACTCAATTAAATACGGTATGCTCTCTCAGCCCTATATATATTAATACAGCCACCTGTCGCAATTGACACTTTGCAGTTGCCAAAAATATTTTGTCTTAATAATTAAGCCAACTCGAATACCCGCCTTAATTGCCAAATAAAATTTAAGCCGAACACAGTAGGTGATTAAGCAAATTATCAGTCGACAGAACAAGATAGAGACCAAGACCCCCACCCACACACACACACACACCACAAACACATATCTGATGTTAGAAAAGCAGCTAAAGCAGATCTGGGATGGATGTCGCAACGTGGTAGATAGAGAAACCTGCCTTGTCGTGGCGTGGCGAGGCGGCATGCGAACGACATCAATTAGCGGCATTTTAAGTGCGTTCCACATTTGGCGTGAAAAAAGCTGAAAAGAGCAAAGGAAAATGCGTCGCGAAACGCCTCGAGTCAATCAATTTGGCTCCGTGTGTACGAGTATTACAAGGCAACAGGGAGGCCTGGACTCGATCTCGAGAAAGACCCCACTCCAGATTGCGTGGCCAGATTGGAAGCCATTTGGAAAGGCCGCAGATCGAGGCGGCAACTTACGCAAATTTTGTTAACTGCAGATCCCGCAGCTCCCCTAAGGCTTGAATGTCCAAGACACTAACCGCCGCCTCAACACAGGGAGATACCCAGCGACACACCCTAATCTGACTCTGTCTCGGACTGCAACTCGGACTTGGCTCTAAGAGTGCGACTACGAGTACGACTGCGACTTCGATTCGAGTCTGATGTCTGCAGTTTCCAAGATTTTTAATTGAAATCTGCAATGGTCTGACTCTGACTCTATGGCTGCCAACTAGTTTACGCATTTGAAAGTGCTGCTGGGGCTGCGTTGTCCGCGTGGGGCTCTGCGCTGTCTTTTGCCTGGTAATTAAAAACTTGTCGTTCGATTTGATAACTTTTTCCATCGAATTCTCTAGAAACATGCGAGTATAGAGAGTAACATGACTTTAGTAAGATAGAAAAAGGAAACGATTATTTTTATTGGTCTATAAAGTACTATTTTATGTTTGAAATCAATGGTTTTTTATAAGATTAATACAATATACATTCGATGTATTAGTAATGGAAATTTTATGTCGACTAACACATTATTTTCGTAATATTTTTTTATGACTAAAGTATCGACCTTTAGTTACCTTTTACCATTGTTATTCATACTTCAAATAATCTTTAAAATTATCTGAAAAAACTGTGATATTTTGAGAGCATTGCACTCCTGGTATAAATTTGATGTGGGTACATGCTAAATGACTCTGATTCAATTTATAGAGTTTGTTCCTTAGGGTTGATTGAGAACTCGCTAATTAATCATTTTTTAAATGTTAATTTATTCATTTTAAGCGAAATGAATTCGTATATTTTTTAATGTACGTTTGATGTACACTTTTTTGTACTATTTTAATATTTTGTGTTGCACCTTCCCTCAAGTTTTATGCTGGAATACCTTAAAGGCGAATAATATTTTTAAATACAAACTTAAAATAATTTTTTCCATAGTTACATAATGTCTTAAAGCCTGATATATGTATGTGTTCACCTCCGAAAGTCATCAATCAGTTATCAATCAGGAATCGTTAACATCGCTAACTTGTAAGAGTATTCCACCTTCAATCGAGTCCAGACACCATTCCTTTCACATTGCGTTTCTTAGTCGGTCAACGCGGCGCATATGCAACATTTGTCACGAAATTTCCGGGGAAACAGGGAAAGAGGCAACTGCCATTGCCTCATTTTCTGAGTACGAGTACGAATACGAATACGAGTTGGAGTATCTATCGCGTGGCATGAGGAGGATGTGCAGCTGAGTGATGAATGTGTGGGTAATGCATTCAGCATTCAGCAGCTTAGCAACTCTGTTAGCTCCGCATTCCTGGCCCTGTTCGCCGATCATCGATTCGATGGAGATTTTAAGTAGCGATGGCATATGATACCAGTTTATTAAACTGGTTTAAATGCAAAAAAAGCAAAACGCCCCTTGGCTAACCCACGACAGCGGCTCTCAGTAATCCAAAAAAAAAATAAAAAAACACACAAATTTTAGAGTCTGGGCCCAAAAGCGAACGCACTTTGAAGATTGAAAACAGATTGCACAACCTCTGGCTCCCCGACAACCGCCGACTCCAACTCCCTATGACGTGACATCCTGGCACTGGCTACTGGCACTGCGATTCGAATGGAATGAAGTAACTTAATATTCAGCCAAGTGATTGCGTTTTATGGCCTGTAACTCCCTAGCATTTGGCTTTCAGTCCAAAAAAGTGAGTGGTCAGTGGGAAAATAATTTTCCACAAAGGATTTTAATTAAGCAAAAGAAAAACCCGAAATCTAATTTCCGTTCGACTAAAACAGAAACAATCTTTCCATTTAATTCGATTTCTGCGCGGTCTCTGATGCAATCATCACCCAAGTCGAGTCAGACTTTGAGCCTGGCCAAAATGCATTGACACACTTTTCCCTGCACCGCCTTCATCTCCCACACCCTCTCTCGCATCTACTCGCACCTTTCCAAAGGAAAATTTATAGAGCGCGTAGCTAGAAGTGGATGTGGACCAAGCCTATGACTCGGACCCCGACAAGGCCCAAAGCGAGGTGCGTGAGTCGTTCAATCAATGCAATTCATTCATTGAGTCCGAAGTGGCCAAAAGCACGCAACAGAAACAGTTGACGGTTGCCTGCCGCTGGCCTTTTCACCCAGTGGCATAGTCATACTACAAAAGGGGATCAACATAAAGAAAAGTCCAAATGCAAGTTTAGCCCCTTACCTGTTCTGTCTGTGCCAACTGTCACCTGAAAGACCTCTGGCTCTCTGCCTCTCTACCTTTTATTTGGGGCATGTGTTTTTCCATTTACCCAACGAAAAAACCCCCTGCTTGGCACACGCTGCAAACACTGCTAAAATGCGTTTTTCCTGTATGCAAAAAAATTACACAAAAAATCGTAGACCCACAAAAAAATTGCGTATAGGCTAGAGTTTATTGATTTATTATGGAGCATATAGCGCATAATTTATTACAAATCTATTTGTGTTTGTGGACCGAGGGACACGAGGGGAGGAATATGCGACCAACAGATTTATGTGTTGGGGGGACACTAAAGACACTCAAAAGACTTGGGCAACAAACTAGGAGGGAAAATGAAATGGATTGAAAAGAGCAGAGTAAGAGAAAATTAAAAAGGAAACATAAATCTGAAGAACTTTTAAGTGGGGGCAGAGGATTCACTCTTTATTCTACTCTATACGGATACACATAAGATCTTTCTCCCTCTATTAATACTTAAGCCATTCCCCGAAAAATCCTTAGCCCAAATCTGATCACATTCTATCACATCACCCTGCAGTTTAATACATGTATTATTATTATCAGCCGTTGTTAATGACTTAATTAAACGCCTTTTATGTGAACAACAAAGGCAAGTGGAACCAACATACAAAAAATCCACAAAAAGTCTGAGCATGAGCTGGAAACCACAACTGCCACCAATGCAACGCCCACGCGCAGCGGCAACAACAACCACTGGGGCAACAGCTCTACAGCCCCAACCCAACAATGACCACACGCCACTTGGCCACCAAATACATCCCATACTCTGTTTAGACGTGGCCCCTTGATTGAACGTACTGCCTGTTGCGAAGTTTATTGGATACCCTTCATGAGAGTATTTTGATTATGACACTATAAGAAATCCAGTAGAGCTCTGTAAATTGTAGCATATATTATTGATTATAATAATTTTAAAGTTTTCTATACTGTCCATCTGTCAGGGTCTGCTGGATCGTACTACTATATCGCTATGTAGGAAATTATTCCATTTTCTGGACTATGCAGTGTATAGAAAAATTCCACCACAGAAGCTAGAGCAATTTTCACGCTTTGCGGTAGCTTTTACTGCTGTTGTGGCACTGTGCTGATGGCGACTCCACAGTTGATAAGTATCATTAGGCCGCCCGCTTAGGTCCGCTTTTGTTTAATAGTGCGAGTGCGGCCCAAGAAGATTGATAATGCCTGATGGAGGAGGGTCGTACCGAGGAGTTAATGGGACGAATGAATATAAATATCCAATTAAACGAAACGATACAATTTAATTGGCTTAACGATTGTAGAGGGAGTATAGATAGACCTCCTGTTGCTAGAGATGTTTGCTTTTTGATCGAATAATTAGGTTGTGACTCTACCTTACATTATGACCACCGCCTTGGGCAATGATCGATGCATGAAATATCACGCCAATTACAGTAGCTGCAGCTCCAGCGATCCACCAGTTAATAGCAGCCAACAACCGCTAACCAGTTGTTGCACCGCAAATTAAATCAATTAAATAAGAAACCGCGGTGAACGAGAGTTTGAGGATATCCTGATTTATGGATACTCTTTTAAAAGAGATAGAATGATTTGGGGTGGATATTCTCAGGGAGCGCTCACTTGTAGAGCTGCCAAAGCATGGCTTTCTTTTCCATTCTCATCAAACTAACTCCCACAAAATCCAACTAAATTATAAAAATATAAATATCCCATCAAATATGTAGAGTATATTCCCCACAAGAAAAAAAAAGAGTGGACAACCGCCAACGTTCAGTGATTTTTGATCAATTATGTTTACGACTTTTGCTTCTCATTAAACATTTATCGTATTGATTGAGCTGTTATATGATGTCACATGAGCAATTACCACACAAATTCCCCTCCGTTTTTTCCCTCCATTCCAGATGCCACACCATAGACTATTTATCCTGGGCCTGCTGCTGCTCTCTATCCTGCTGCAGCTGCAGTCGATTCGGGCAGATGTCGGCTATCACTACGACAGACCGCGGCCATCAGCTCCGTCGGCACCCGCCGCCATCTACTCGAGCCATCAGTTTAGTGCCCTGCCCACAATCCATCCGCTGCCACCGATTCCGGCGCTGCCGCCACTGCCCACCGCTCGAGTGCCGATACCCAGGATTCGACCCACTGCGCCTGCTGCCAACATTGTGAGCCACTATCTGTCACCGAAGCCATCGGGACCCATTGTTTCCACCTACCTGCCTCCGCATGTGGCATCGCCAATCTCTTCCATCAGCTTCCATGGCCAGGAACCCACTCTGAGGCCCGTGTACGGTCCGCCCGGATTCGGTTTCTCGCAGCCTCTGGTACCCACTGCTTCCACTCCCATCGTGGTGCCCAGTGGACCTGGACCAGTGTCTGCAGGAGGACCACTGCGTATACCCTTCGGCAAGCATGCATTGATTTCGCCCGGAGAATCTTACGTGGCCAATGGCAGGCAGCTCAAGCAGTACGCCGTCATCGAGATCATCGACAATGACATCGACGAGTCGCCGTCTCCGTTCCTATCGAGCTCCACCTTCTTTGATCGCTATGGAGCACATTTGGGGGCATCCGCTGGTTCCAACAATGGCATTCAGCTGGATTCGCGGGCCAATTCCCTACTCCTAGAGCAGCAGTCCCTCTCTATCCAGCCACGTTCACAGGGCCAGGGTCAGGGCCAGGGAGATGCCATCGCATTGGGATCCGGAGGTCTTGGCTTCGTGCGCTTGGCCAATGGCAATGTCTACCTGGGATCTGGCTCCTTGGGTTACATCAGCGGCCAGCAGCGTGTGGCCTCTGTTTTGGATGCCCGCACTCGATCAGATTCCACGCCCGATGCCCTGCATTTTGGCCATGGTCCGTTGGGGGGAGCGGAGAACTTTCTGAGGTTCAAGTAGAGGCTGCTGCGTGTCCAAGGATTCGCTTCCTTATTCCCCTTTCGCTGTACAACATAACACACACACACACACACACACGCGCGCACATGTATAATTATACATATATGTACATATGTATATTTTATTGTAAATATGATTTAAAAGTTCTCCTCCTTTGTTTAGATTGTAAGTTTGCCGAAGTTATTTGAGATTCTTGTACATTTTTCCTATGCAAAACATCGAAACTTGATCAAATAAATACACATCTGTGGTTAACAAACAGTTACAAGATGTACATAATTGAAACAAAAAATTGATCAAATCTGTAGAAGTTCGTTAAAGGTCTTTAAGTTTAATTTGTTTCAAATTTAAATTTGAATTTTTTGCAGTTACTTTTTCTTAGTGATAGTCGCCGCCAAGACTTTTTTGAAAAATTTCATAGCAGCCACCTTTTTAGTGAGTGTAAATATCTTAAGTTCAAAAGTTGCCCGCTTTTGACTGTGAGGGCGCCACTAAATTCGCAGACCCCATAAAAATATATCTATGTATTAAAATTATTTTACATATGTATATAAATACCAAACCGGGGCTAGGCCGCATAAAAATACCGAAAATACCAAAAAGCAGTTTTCTGTCAAAGGACGAATTGGCGAAGAAGAAATTCAAATTTCAAATTGACCGCCAAACTCAATTTAGCGCACCAAAAATACTGACATTTTTCGCTCTCAATTCGTGGAGAGTTTGCAAAACTCGCTCTCATTTCGTGGAGAGTGCTCTCTTTTCAGTGGAGAATAGAGTGTTTTTGTGGAGACTTTCCCCTCATTTTCGTGGTGTGGCAGCATGCTGCTGAAATTTTTCCCATACAAAATCAAATGTATCTTACGGGAACGCGTATGGAATAAAGATTCATTGTTGCGTCATTCCATACGCGTTCCCGTAAGATACATTTGATTTGTATGGGAAAAATTTCAGCAACATGGGGAAATGACGTAGCAGCATTGTTGTGCAACTTTGGCACGGAATGAGCCACAATCTGCATACCTTGGGAAAATGGATATTATGGACTTGAGATATTGTTTGAATTTTCAGGCTCCAATTAATGCAAAAACTACTCAGTCTCTGTTCTACGGATTTTAACAAAGTTTTGCAGCTCACGACTACCAATAATAGGTATCAGAACCGGGATAAATGTATTTATAACACACAAACATGTGCATTAATATGTAAAAAACATGTCAATCTAGGATAAAATCATAAATAATGTTTCAATGGAGCTTGGAACAAAACATTTAACACCAAATAAAAGAAATAAGGTAATAAAGTACATACGCATAGAATATACTTGGTTGACCAGCAACACTGACGTCACATTTAGTCAACATTTACGTTTTATGCTTTGGCCGCTTTTGTTTGAACCTTAATATGTAAACAATCCAATAAAAAATAGTTCTGAAAACTAGCCAATCCTAAACAAAATTCATTGAGGAGTTGGATAAAATTATTTGTTTAGGGCTGAGAGTCCCAGCTAGCTGGTAATATTAAACGGAATATAAAAATCGAGGAATATCAACGTCGAATGTATTGAAAAAACAATCAATACTATCGTGATAGTATCGGGCTGAAATAATTATTAAACAACCATTGAAACCTTTTAGGAACTTGTCCATTGTAAAAATTAGATGTCACCAGTCAGTTTGTTTACAAATTTTTCTTCGTATTTTAGAGCAGCCAATCCAAACATATCAAAAGCGCAACAACTGTAGCTCGATACTATCATGATAGTCGCAAAACCATCGATAGTAGCGGCTAGCAGAAAAACATCGATACTATCGATAGTGCCTTCGATGGTTTGACACCTCTACCGCATATCCTCTAGAGCTGGAAAAACATCGATGTTTGCCACCATCGATGTTTTCGATGTTTTAGGACGAAGACATCGATTATAATCGATTATCGACATAAAAAATACAAAAATTTGTTTGCGGCTTAAATTTTTAATTGAGATCTGATAGGAAGCTGTTTTTGTTGATTTTAGGTTTTAGCGAGGTCCTTTTTGGGTCGCTTGGGACTAGATATGATGTCTTCTTCGTTATTTCCAACGTCGTCCAATTGAGTTGCCGTTACTGTTTTAAAGAAATTAGTTTAAAATAGTTAATTTGATAATTTTTTACACATTTAAATACATACATATTTATGTATGTAAAAAAGTATGCGAAAAAGTGAGAATACATATATGTATATGCATGTATACAAATTTATTCGCATACATATTACATATGTGTGCACATTGTACAAAACTAACTGTATTTCATTATACTTACTTTTTACAAACTTGTCCATGGCGCTACTACGATCCACGCCAACACCACAAAAATGTTATCTATTAAAGTAAGTAGAATAGATTAATTTTTGTAAGCAAATTCGCATAAAATATTCCCTTACCTTATAACGAGTTCTGTCTTTCGGTTGTAAGTGACGATAATCGATGTTTGCAGAAAAAACATCGATGCTGAACATTTTTGAGTAACATCGATACTATCGATGTTACATCGATGTTTTTTCCAGCTCTAATATCCTCGGATACACGCTGGGCCGCAACGAATGGAGCGTCATCTTGTTATCGTCCTCGTCCAGGCCGTACTTGGAGAAGTGCTTCACACAAAACACCCAACTGCCGGTCTCTGGGCGATACTCGACGATACTCGACTCGCCCGTATCGTTTGCATAGCAGGCGCAACGCAGATGTCCCTCCCAATTCATTTCGATCAGACGCTGCGCTTCCTTCACAACAGGCACAGGCTGGGTCTTGTCCACGGGCCATACCTGCTCGAGGGTGACTTGTGCCTCACGATTCAGGCCTTGGTTGATAGGCGGCCTCTTCTCATCGTCAGTTAACGTTACGTAGTTACTGCACGGTGCCTAGTTAGTTTATGCGTTTAAGCGAGTTTAAGTAAAAGAGTTTAAGCCGATTTTGCGGGCGTCCGCAGACGCACACACACACGTAACTATGCTCATATGTCGGGCTGTTGCTCCACTTAACTACAGGTTAGGTTACTACTGTTACTAGATAGTTACTAAGTTAACGTTACTTTACGTAGTTGCTGTACGTAGTTAGTTTCAGCATTTAAGCTAGCTTAAGCGCTTTGGCGCGCCGCGTCCACACACACACTCACAACACACATATCATAACGGATCTTTCACTAGGGCTGGATCGTTGCCGAAACGATAGTATCGATATAAATTTATAAATTATATTTATATAAATTGGAATTGAGATGTATCTCATGAGATCTGAAAAACACGATGGCTATAACTATAGAAGTCTTTCTATAACTATAGCTCCTGCTAAGGATTGGTAAGGACATAAACTGGACCTAGACGTACAACAATCGATAGTATTGTGTTCGCATCGATAGCATAGCTAGGGCTGCAAAAACTGCAAAACCGACGCTACGCGACGCTACGAGACCCCGCTACACGGCTACCTGCTACTAGGACTAGCCACTGACAGGACTTTCCAGGACTTCCAGGACTACGCACTACACTGCACAGGACAAGATATACTAACCACCCCAAAATTAACAATTGTTGCTTGTTTAAGCAATAAATCAAAATGGACAAAGCACCCGAGCAATGGGTGGAGCTATATGCAGCCAACGAAGCAATTTGGCAGGCAGAGCAAACCACTGCAAGCAGTAAACAAAATGCCTGGCGTACGCAAAGGATATTGCTGGGCCAAGCAACGCGGTAAATTCATGTCAATTGACGCACACAAGCGGCACGGCAGTGAATTAACCTTTTACCTTTACCGCGAATTGCAGGCACATTAATGATGCAACGCATAATGCTGTAATCAAAGAGCACATGGATAAGCTGGAAAGCGACCGGAGCTCGGAGGCAATCATTAAGCAGCGCATGGAGCGATGTCAACAGATTATAAAGGGCAGTCGTCGTCGCGTCGGCTCCTGCAAAACCATGGAGCTTAGCACGCCACCGACCAGCGTATTTACGCCTGATTGCCGTGGCGCCTACGAGAGTTGCCAGTACAACGAATTGGCTTTAAGCGATTTGCTGAAATTACGGGCTCCCGGTGCAGCGCACAATGAGAGTTGGTTGGGCTTTCGCACTGCACGCGAACAGCAGGAGTTGAACGATTTAAAGGTATGTTGCGTGCATCGACCAACTAGCAAATGCTTAAAGCTTATTTTTTGTTGCAGAAAAAAAGGGGACCAAATGAAAATGACGCACCAAATTCAAATTCACGTTGAGATCCTTTCCAAATAAAGTTACATTTTTTTTCCGGTCGTCTTAAAAGTTTTTGCCACTTTATTAAGCATTTTAATCGGAATTTAAATGCTAGGTAATAATTATTTATATTTGTTTGATTTAATCAAAATGTAATCACAATATATAAATTTAGACTAAATAACAGTTTATTTTTGCATTTTGAGTATTAATGGAAATTCGTAGGCAAATACCAATTAAAAAAGCGCGAAATTAATTTTCAAACATTATAAATTAAAATTTCCATAATTTAATTTATCATTTAATTTAGTATATCGCCTTTCTCACCGACTAGAGGAGTCTTAAAGTTAGTGGAATATGGGGAGCGTTCAATTATGTTATTTCAAAAGATTTGCATTTGTTTGCTAAATTTAAAAATCAAACAATTTTTGTTGTTGTGTCCATAATTATTCATGCGCAATTTTATAATGCGATTGGAACGTGCCGGCTAGTTTGGGGAGCTTAGCGAGATCTCCGGATCGGGTTCTGTATGTGGTGTGGGGGGGGGGCGAAACATGTGCGACCGGCCAGGCAGGGCTCCAACGTGTGTCTGCTAAATGCGCAGTTCTACAAGATCTATTTTTTGTGCGACTGTTTGCCGGTTTTCTTTGCCTTTGCCCCACCTACACATGCACATATACATACGAGTATGGACATATTCGTATATATTATATTCACATTCAAGTTGATCTCTGTTGTTTGAATAGTCTAGAAATGGGCCACGCGTTGCCCAGTTGGAGGCCAAAATGCCGGCCGGTTTTTCCGTGCGAGTGTTTTTCTCTCTAGCCTGTTGCTCTATCTTTCACTCTTTCTCTAAAATTCAGTTCAATAAACTGCCAAAATTTGAACGCAGACTCAAGGTGAATCAATCGACAAGTACATATGTATGTACATATCTGGAATAGCCCTCCAAGGTGAAGTGGAAAGTGGCAAACACACACACGCGTAACCCCTCTCAAGGTTCATTCGCTGATAATGAAAGTAATTATTTGGCTTATATGATTTTCAATTTAATTTTAAAACACATTTTTTTATTGCATTGCATTTCACTTATGAGCTAGAGATTTACAAGATGAAAAGTCAATATGACTGAATGAACAAAACGAAACTGAATTGAACTGAACAATCGCAAAGTGCTGCTAGCTTAAGGACTAAGAATGGATATTGGATGGATATTGAATTCTGGTTCAATTATTGTTAACAAATGAGGCTCTCTAAGATTATAAGATCAGTGTCTGGGCAAACATAAAAACTAGATGATTTTGGCAGTTGCTGCTTGGTTGGCTAGAGGCTAGGGACCGATCATCGGTTACAGCTCGAGCTGGAACTGCTCCTGATCCTCTATCTTCAGTGATTGGGTCTTCTTCACAAGCTCCGTTGGCACTGGCACACACTTTCTAAAGGGAGTCCGCGGTGTTCCACGCATAAGGCAGCTAGGTATATTGCTGGGAGGTGTCTGGCTCAGAGGGGAGGCTCGCAGATTCTTCATGAAAGCCCTCTCATAGATCAGTTTAGTGCCTGGAAATAGATAGATGGTGGAAATCCATTGATTAATCAAGGTGTCATTGCATCAGCATACTTGTCGTATAGTATGCATGTGGGTTTCAAAGTTCCGGACGATAACAACGGCTACGGCTGAGCAAACATTTCTGGCGGGCAATGATAGTGAGTCAGTCACAATTCCCGCAGCACATGTGCGCGACGACTCTTTTGCGTCTTATCTGCCTGACTGATTCACTTCAACCCAAAGTTTCATCAGCCGAATCACCGAAATAACTAAAGATGAGACTCACCTCCAGGCGTGGTGGAGTACAGGGTACCGCCGGGCGTCGAGGAGTAACACTCCGGCATCTCGATGGGATCCGTTATGACGATCTTCTTGGTCTTAATAGCCATCATGGGCAGGGCGTGGGAAACGGCTTGACGGGCGGTGGGCGATGCAGACATCTTTGATTGATTTTTAAATATTGTGTTGTTTTTTGGTATTTGAAAAACTTTCCGCTTGGCTTGTAACCACTTTTAATTATTGCTTTTATCGTCGTCTCTTCTACGACTTTTGATTATTGTTTACACAAATTGCGTTCTATGGCGCTTTTGTTTTGTTTGAGGGGCGCTTATCAGATGTTTCTCCCGCTCTGCTGCTGCTACTCGTCCGTTTGCTTGGTTGGTTGGAGCCGACTGATAGTCCCACCGCTGGTATCCGCTGCTATATATACCACGGCTCTCTTCTACCAACCCTGCTAGCTCTCTCCTCTCTCACTCGCGTGATGTTTTTGCTGTTTTGTTTTTGTCTGCCGCCGCATTGCTGCGTATTATGACAATATGTATTTCGAGTTGGTTCTGTATATTGGTTCTTGTTGCTGTTATTGCTGCTTATCCTAATGAACGGTTTCGATACCCTGGGCATACAGGGGTGCTACGATTTTGAGTAGATATTCGCCATCCAGATGAGCAAGCATTTCCAGATATGTACCTAAAGTAGGAATAGCCAAAAAATTGTATAGAGTCATCTTTTTCTGCCTAGCTGTATATAAGTGGGATTCGCTAGGGATCACTCTATAACTAAAACATTTATAGGAACCATATGCCGGAAAACAAGTAGGAACAACCCTTTTTCAATAAGCAATTCTTTGTTGTAAAAATCTTATTGTTTATTTATTTATGATTATGATTATAATCCAAACAAATCACCTGCACTTTGATTAAAGGTGAACGACTGTGGCAAACAGAGAATTGAAAATGTAGCATAGCGAAAAAGATCTTGAGGTACATTTATATTATCCCTAAAATGGATGCAATAGTTATCCGATTCAGATGATTTTTGATACATGTGAAGATAAATTATAGATTTTATAGCATAGAAAAGTGCGATCTGCAAGGGTATCTAAGCCTTCGGATCCGCAAAATATTTGTATTCCGTTCTTGGTGTTGTTTTTGCTATTGTCTGCTGCACACCTCAGACGGTACTGGCAAAAGAAAGAGAAATGGTGCTATAAAGACCCGATAGAGAGAGAGAGAGGGAGCAATATATACAGACCGATAAAGAGGTGGGCCTGCTGCGGGGTTTCCTCCTCTCTGCCTTTTGCCTTGGGCTTTTGTTTATCTATAGCCATTTGTTATTGTTTAATGCACGGCAATATTACTGGTAAACAAGTTAGTAAGAAATGCTTAAATGAACAAACAGCAGATTCGAATCGAATCGATTCGATTCAACATCTCATGCATATGGGTTCCCAAAAACTCTATTATCTATAAGCAGAACTGTTGCATGGACAGACTATGACTCAGATTTCATCATCCAAACGACTAGGTGATGCACGCCCCACAAAGATGGTTTGTTGATAGGTGAGTAATTCCTCAGAATTTCAGGAAGTAATATTCTATTTCGTCTTTTTTTGCAGTCGCACTGACAATCTATAACTAATTACCATAATGACACGTTGCCGGCGGTTGCTGACGTTTAGAGCATATCAATAAACTTAATTACTTAGAGGCACGAGCAGCATTCGACCCATATGCGCGGGGGCGTGGGGGATATTGACAAATTCGAAATGTTGGACGCATGTAAAATAGTGTCAAAGCAGTGAGTTCTGCTTACGTAGGCGCCATGCTTCGACGTAATTCGAATTTTTGGCTAACGTCCATGGCAGGGGCAATGTAAAGGTTGCCACGTGTATTAGATCTGCCCCACGATGTGGGACAATGGTTGGCGCCCACACAGGATTCAACGTCAGCACTGAAGCGTGCGGAAATTTATGATCTCCCAAAGAAATCTGCTTAAATTGGAGAAAGACCTTGAAATGGAAAAACACTAGGAGAACTGTGATCATTATCAAGGTTGTGTTTTCTGCCATCATGCGATCAAGTGGTGGCTTTTTAGTTTTTGTAATTATATCTTGCACTAATGAAAGTTGAGGCAGGTGTTGATGGAGATGAACTGGGAGAATGAAATCATAAGGATTGAAGGAGAGAGTTAGTATGGAAGCCTCTTTAGAGGCTCTTTATTAATGAAAAAGCCAAGAGTTATGTTTCATGAGAGCCACTTTCAATGGCGCGAAAAAGGAGTAATATTTCTGGAAGAATCCTAGAAAAACCTTTGATGGCAAGTATATGGGATAATTCATTGGGGGTTTCTCGGTAAGTAGTTCACAAGCAAGTGCCAAGTGCAGTCCACTTTTTGTGGGATTGTATCATGACCCACATTCATTAATTTCTGGCAATAGAGCCTAGGTAGTGGGCGGCAATGAGGGAGGCCCCCATATATACATACATATGTATGTACATATTACATATCTACATATGTAAGCTAAGTGCTGACTGACCCCCAAAGAACCTAACCGTAAACAACATTACGCACATGGAACCAGAACTCAGGGGAGTCTGATGGAATTATGATGTGTCATCCCGCACGTAGTCCACAGCATAAGACCTGCCCTACGTGCGGGTACCAGTCTAAATATTTTTCCAAAGAGCAAAAAAAAAACCAGAGAGGAAGGCACTCCACTCTCCTCTCCCATTAAGGTCTCTTATCAACCACCCTAATGGACTGATGACAACCGGTTCTTGGATTTGATTTCGCTTTCGGTTTCAGAAAGTACCTGTGCATCCAAAAGAGAGAGAGAGGGATTCCTAGAACACCCACATATAGAGAGAGAGACACATAAGATGATAGGAAGTTTTTCTTATTGCGTTGCAGCCAAGTGAAAATGCGTCTTTGAGAAATTTTCTATTGGGTTGGTCGGAACTTGCGAGAGGTGCGGACCGGTATACCGGCCAACATCGAAATTTTGTATTGTTGTTAACGGCTATGGGGATTGTTCTCGGGGTGGAAATTGCTGATGAAATTGCACCATGCGGTTACGTGGGCTCTCGGATCTATTTCTAAACGAGTCGAAGATATTTGTGAATGAGAGACGAGACCCAAAATTAATTCAATCCGAATACCAAGAATAACGAAACCGAATGAAAATATCATCAGCCTCCGAAAGTGTCACTCACCTTAAGGCGAATTGTGGTTACTCTGCGAAAGTATTTGAAGGCAAATAAAGGTATTAGATGATTTGCTTAGGCCAGAGAATGAAGTCGAATGGCTAAAGGCTATATTTGTGTTCTTGGAATGTCTATAGAATTTCAGATTAGCTCCGGAAGATATTCATAATTTATTCTATACATATGTATGTATATGCTACCGTATTCGGTATAACATCTATCAAATTATCTAAATTATTCCCATTAGATGCCCCTCCATCAAATACTTTATTGAGCCCATAAGCTTCGATAAGAAAGAGTATATAGTATTAATACAAACAACAACAAGCATCACATCCCCAATTTTGTTGACGTCGATGACCCACATTCTGTGAAATACACATTAAGGCGCCGTGGCCGGGCCAAAAAAATACAAATCATTCATTTGACTTTGTTTATGCAAAATATGAAAAATACACACAGGACAGTAGGAGGGAATTGTACACCGAAACAGAAAAATAATCGCCCATTAAGTCTGTAAATTAGCATGTGCCCCGAGCACATGGTCTGCCTTCGAGATAAGGGCACAAATCCGCAGACTGCAGCGATAAGGATAAATCCACAGAAGATCGAATCGAGACTGCTTGACGCTAAGTCATTGTCAGATGGCATTAAGGGAGGTGGTTCATCCTTGTAGTACTCTCGGAATCGAAACGGATCGCATCGAATCGCGTAATTTGCGTCTTACATTACATCAGCTAAACAACACCCGCTTACTGCTGGGATCTTCCATTGCGTTGGGGGGTGTCCTCCAGCCCCCCCCCCCCCACCATACATCTACGATCTTTCATTAGTGTCAAAAAATAAGAAGGTCAATAGCCTGTGATAAGGTTTCGGACAGAGACACGGACAGAGAAATGTGCGATAGAAGAGAAAGTCTCACATATATGATACCCTTGCGGAAGGACAAGTACTTGAACAAACATGCTAAGCCAATCTGGGGAATAGAGAGAGAGATAGAGGCATATAGACAGAGAAACAATAATGATCCGAACAAATACTGTATATTTGATTTGGAAATCAGTGCAACTAAAATTAACCACATACATACATACATACATAGATACATACATATGTACATACATACATACATACATACATACAATACATACATACATACATACATACAATACATACATACATACATAAATACATACAATACATACGAGTACATACATTTTCTGCTTGAAAATCTTGCATTTTCGCAAGGGTATCCAACAAAACGTATAAAGCTCATAAAATGACAGAATTTTGTGTGTATTGCCGATCATTTCCGATGCGATTGGGAGATCTCAGATCTCTCCATTCAGATTTTTCAAAGTTCCGCCGCCTATATATCAATAATGCATGGGGTAAAGAGTTGGCAACAGAATAAAATAATGTAAAAATGGAATTTATTTAACAGACTGGAGGAGGAAACCTTCGCAACGATCAATGAACTAGGCTAGGCTCCTCATGCACGAGTTCCACGAACTTGTAAGCGATCGTTGCATATAAATACGTATGCGTAGGACACATCTGTATGTGGCTCTGCCAATGGCTGAAAGTCTTGGGGGATGGGTCTGGTATGGGCCTTATACTCCCTCAAAGAACTTGTCCAGCAGTTCGCTGTTGACATAGCCGATCTCCCATTTCTGACGATCGTTCTCGGGATCGCACTCGTTGGTGTACACCGCAGCCTTGCCCTCCTCCAGAATACCCTCCATGCAGCGGCGTCCATTTGGGGCATGCACCAGCCATTTGTGCGTGCGATCATAGTACCAGAACTGATTTCCTCCCTGGTTGTGGCAGCTCCACATCCAGACAGTGGCATTCGCATGCTGGTCCTGCACATCCAGACAGTTGGAAGCCCCATTGTGGCGCAGCTCGCGATCGGGTGTGAGCACCCAAAACTGATTGAACTGGGGATGGGTGCGATTCTCCGCACAGCTGTACAGCCCCACGGCATTGTGGGCGCCCATGTTCATGGTGTCGATGCAGTGCGAAGAAAAGGCCACGTTTTGAATGGCCCCCGAGGCGTAGTTGGGCGGCTCCACGGGCGGGAACTTCTTGAGGAAGTCCGGAGCCACCTCCTTCATGTACCAGTCAAAGGATTTACACTGAAGTCTCTCGCGTATGGCCCGCTGACGAGTGAGATCGCCAGCATCGATGTTGTCATAGGTCTGTGGATCGCGGGTGTAGACATATTCCTTGTACTCATCCATCCAGACCTCTGCCACTCGTTTGTGGTTCTAAAGATAAGAAGGAGATACATTTTACAAGATTCAGATCAAAGCATGAAAGACTCACCCTCCCCACAAAATTGTAGTCCCTTGGATTTGGTCTTGGGTCCATGGGACCACGGAATATGTGCGCCACTCGGGAGCAGGGCACATCCAGCAACATGCCACCGCACATCCAGATCTTGAAGCTCAGCTCGTACTGCTCCCCGCCCCAGATATCCAGCTCATCATCGTAGCCACCCAGATCCCAGAAGAAATCGGTTCTAATGGCAAACAGGCCACCCATCATTACGGGATCGCGATATGGCTGTGACTTGTCTACACTGTCCTCGGGCAGCACGGGCAGCTGCTTGTAAAAGAAACGCCAATCGAAGCCACCGCGGGATCCCTCCTGATAGCCACCATTATATGCAAAGTTGCTGTGATCGATAATGTCCACAATGGGACATGTAGAGATCTTGGGATTAATGGCTATTGGTTCGATCAATGGAGGAAGCTGCAGACCAAGTGGATATTATAGAAATTATAATTGGAGTCACTATCCAGATCCAGTCGCAAAACATACCCAGTTGTAATTCACCTCAATGTGGGAGTCGAAGAAAACCATCACCTCTCCAGTGGCCACTTTGGCACCTTCGATGCGTGCTCCAATCAGACCCTTTCGCTCCACATTCCTTACTATCGTAACCAGATGGGGAAAGTGCAGGGAGACATAGTCATCCAGCTGCTGCTTCAGCGTGTCCCAGTCACTGCCATCATCCACAAGGATAATTTGCTTCAGTAGCTCCGCTGGAGTACGATTTATGACGCTATAGATGGATCGCAACAGGGCACTGAAGTGCTCGTTGTAAAAGATAAACACCACACTGATATTCGGGAGCTTCGACAGGTATTTGCGGGTCTTGCATCTGTAAAGATAAAAGTGATCATATAATACGATCATCTAGTTGGATGTCAACCCATATATCTACTTACTGCTCCAATCGCACATCCGGCACGGATCGATTGACGGAAATCCTATCAGAGAGCAGGCCATTGAACCCATTCTTCCTGTACATCTCCTGTTCCATCTCTTTTTCATCGGGATTCTCGATCTCCGCGGGCAGACCATGCTCCCCGAGACCCGATCTCAACTTGTCCGCTTCCATAGCGGCATATTCGTGCCAGTCCCTTCGCTCTCCCTCCACATAGGGCAGGCGGAAGCCTGTGGGCTGTGGTTTCTTATCTCGTGGTTGTTCTCTGGCCAGGCTACGATCCTGGAAGGGTGGACGAGCTGCCCGACGCGAGGGTTGAAGGTCGGCTGCACGGAAGACGGGTGTGATTGGATCCCCATTGGGATCTAGATTCTCCTCCGAGTCCCTGCCAGTGCCGGGACCCATACGCTTCTCCACAATCAGCGTCGTGACCAGCGAGATGGCGGCGATCGACAGCAGCCAGAATATCACTTTGCGCACTAGGCGCTTCATGTAGCGCTTCTTCATAGCCATCGATGCAACGACGTCGTGCAGGTGGAAGTCTTTTTTTGAGACTGCTGTCATGATCGTTGCAGATGGCACGTCGTGTGGAGCGGCAACCTGGTAGTGCGTGGCAAAGCGGGCCCATTAGTGTAATTGTGACAGGGCGACATGGGAAGTGCAGATATCGTGTGATAAGACGAGAGGCAAATTCGATTTTAGTCAACATTTAAGGCAACATGCATCTTCACTATCAATCAACATTAATTGCAAACGGCCTGTCGTCGGACTGCGGACGCTGGCTGGTGGGTGACGTGTAAGACGTTTTCACTCACCTGATGTCGAGATAAAAACAAAAACATAAAAATCGCGCGTCATGCTGCCGCCATCTGCTGGCGATAAGTAAGAGCAAAACTGTAATTACAGTTGATATTCTTTCCATCGATAGGAATTTTATTTGCAATCATTTTTAAATTTCAAATTAGAAAATTGACAACATTCGCTTTTTCATTGTACTGTTGGTACGAAACATTGTATCCATATACCGATTAGTCCAACCGATCTGCCAACGCTGGCTCTTGCTCTCGGGAAAGCAGTGATTGACGCGAACGAACGCCTTGCTTCCATCTATAAAGGCCTCCAAGCAGCGATTCATCTTGCTGCTCTGCTGAAGCCACTTGCTGTGACTGCTGTAATACCAGACCTGGTTGTCCCCCTTGTGGCAGTGTTGCAGCCACACTGTGGCGTTTGGCGCCACGCCACGCACCTGCAGGCAGTTCAAATTATCCACGCAAACAATCTCCAGTTCACGTGTAAGCCTCCAGAACTGGGTGGGCTGTGGATGGGTAAGATTTGCGCTACACTGCCGCATGCCCACCGGCTTTCGGAATCCCTCGGCCAAGGCGTCGACGCAGAAGCCGGGATAGGCCACACTCTGTATTGCTCCTGACCCATAGCCACGTGGCTCCACCAGCGGGAACCGCTCCAGAAAGTCCGGGGCCACTTCGTGCATGTACCAGTCGAAACTCTTGCACCCGAGCTTCTGGCGAATTTCCTTCTGATGCGTCACATTGCCGGCACTGATGTGGTACCTGTTGGGATCATGCGAATACAAGTAGTGTCTGTACCCATCCATCCAGACCTCAGCCACTCGCTTGTAGTTCTAAAAACATTTACAGATCATCTATATAAAGTGGAGTTCACAGAAAGATGCGGGATCTTACCCGCGCCAAATTATCGAGTTCTTGTTGTATGGATTTTACGGGTTGACGTTGTAGAGTATCTGTTGGCCCTTTGTGCGCCATGACTATGTGTGCCACTCGGGAACAGGGAACTTGCAGCAACATGCCACCGCACATCCAGATCTTGAAGCTCATCTCGTACTGCTCCCCGCCACCTGCGTCCAGCCCTTCATCGTAGCCGCCCAGCTCCCAGAAGTACTTCCTGGAGATGGCAAAGACCGTGCCTTCCATCACAGGATTGCGATAGGGCTGTGACTCGCCCTTGTTGTCCTCGGGGAGCACAGGCAGCTGATTGAAGGCCAAGTGCCAATTGAAGCCACCACGCCATAGCATTGGATCGCTCCTTTTGAAGGAAAAGTTCATGTTATCGATTTTATCCAGAATGGGACTGGTGACGATCTTGTAATGGATGACAATGGGTTCAATCAAGGGAGGAAGCTAAAGGTGAAAATGATGTAGAGCCTGCCTGGAGTAGCCGCATTAGCACATACCCAATTGTAGATGACCTCAATGAGAGCGTCACAGAAGACGACGACGCTGCCAGTGGCTGAGGTGACTCCCGCCACGCGTGCGGCAGCCACGCCAGTCCGCACTGGTTGTCTTTTAACGGAGACTTTATTTGACATGTGCTGGTGTACGTACTCGTCCAGCTTTTGTTTTAATTCGTGATCGGTACTCCCATCATCTACGAGAATAATCTCATGTAGCAGTTCGTGTGGAGTGCGATTAATAATGCTGTGGATGGACCGCAGCAGGACACTCAAGTGCGTATTGTGAAACACCATGATGACGGATACATTGGGCAAGTTTGCCAAATACTTGCGGGAATAGCACCTGTCGGGGGTTGGGTTGTTAGTATAGATCTTCGAATGGCCCCACTGATTGTTTACTACTTACTGAAACGGTCGTGTGTCCGAGATTGAGCGATTCACTGATATCTTATCGGAGAGCAGCACGTTGAAGCCATACTTAATGCTCTCCGTATCCACCGCTTCGTTCTCTTTGATGTCTTCGTTGGAGGCGGATAATCCTTGCTCGCCCAGCCCATTTTTTGCATTATCTGCCTCCATGGCCACCCGATCGTGCCAGTCCCTGCGCGGACCGCCCTGCAGGGGTAAACCGAAATCATATCTTCGTTCCACCTTGAGCACATCCAGATCCGTTTGGCCCATCACAAATGTTTCGGTGTCCTCGTCGGCGACGGTTGTGTCAAAGTTTTGTGTGTGTATACTCTTGCCCAATAGTATTGTGGATATCAGCGAGACCGTAATGATGGCCAGAAGCATGGCCACCAACTTCTTCAAATCCAAATTGATCTTCATTGCTAACGCTCTCTTTTGTGTGTTTGTGTTACTAAGCAAGAACAACCGCGAATTTCGAATGGTCGAATATCGATATACATATAGTATGTATGTACGAATATCGTGGGAAAATTATTATTTTCTTTGGCAGTTGAAGCTCAAACGTTTTTTGATTACACAAACTTTGAATTCTGTGTGTCCCGTAAAATTGTTTTTTCTCGGCCTACTTAAGTGTAAAAAATTAAAGTAAATTAAACAGTATATAGATCCCTCTTTATACAAGCGAAACGTCATAACAGAATTTTACAGTTCCCAGAGATCTTCGGCCTTGGGAGCTGTCAGTTTGGATCATTAAGACAGCCACTGGTGGGATTATCAGGTTCCGCTGAAGCTCGCCTGGGCCTTCTCCATCCACAAGAGCCACTGCCTGCAGCGGGAGCCGTGAGGCCATGTAAGGTCAGGCCTATGTGGCCCTGTCCCGAGCAAAGTTCCTGTAATCCGTCCGCATTCTAGATATGTGTGAGCCAATCCTCAGGTGCTGACGTTCTACAAGCGCTTCCGGTCACGCGTCATGGACACTACAATGATTTCTCTGGGACCCACGGACAAGGTCAAGCGGACAGACGATGCCAACAGTGCCTTGGCCAAGATCGCAAAGAGAAAAAGATTTTGATTTGCTGTGTGGCATGCACTACGGTACAGGACAAAGATGTTCAAATAAGAACTAAACTAAATACCAATTATTCAAATTTACGAATCCTCGAATCCAGACAATCGGAAAGCTTTAGTGTAGAATTGTACGATGAGTGGATTTTGAAGTTTGAACAATGAACACAGAAACCTTGCGTCTAATATGCGTATGTATAGGATATTATTATGATACATGGTACCTTATATGAGGATATCTTAAAGGGCAGTAGTGTTCTCGGACTGGACTTGGAATATTTTTAGTTTTGCTAATTAAACTAAAGGAACCTTTAAGTCTGTTTGCTTCTTTAAACATCTACAGATATCTCAGAAAACTGTTTGCTTTGCTTGAAGTTAAAGCAATTATGGAACCTGGAATCAAGTTGGGCAAACACTCACTACTGGCTTCTCTTTGTGTGGAATTTACGTAGGGAAATAAAATAGTAACTATTCCATTATTTATGCAATTTTAACAAATTTGAAAATTAAACTCCAGACTGAATAAAGGTCAATGATTATCTTTTATGGATCTACAGAATCATAGTATAATACCATTGAATATCTAAAAAAAATTAACTATCTTTAATACTTTTTAGCCTAATCCATAGATACGCCAAGAGTTGGCCAGCTTTTGAGCTTGAATAAAGGGCAGATAAACCTTCAAACTGGTCTTCTTTGAGTCACAATTGCAGGATGAGCCTAATGAACCTAATGAGCGTCATAAAATTATTTGAATTAATATATTTCCACAATTAATAGACTCCACCACAGACAGACTCTTTTGGTTTACCATTTCAGGGTGTGTATATTTTGTAATCACGGAAAATTGAACTTAAAAACCTCAGTTCCGTCTCGGCACGGTCTGAACATGCAGAAGGAGGAGGCTGATAATAAAAGAAAACTCAATGAGCGGCCTGCTCTTCGCCCTTCATGCCGCTGCCCACTGGGCCGTGGCGGCGCTCCCAGATCAAACGATGCTTTTGCTTCATGTAGGCCGTCTTGGCATTGGCATAGCCACCCAAGTCGCCATCTAAAGGAAAGCGGGGATTTTTTATATATTTGTACATACAGAGTGCCAATAATTTCACTCACATTTGATGAACCAATTCTCGGTTGCCTTCTCGTACTGCTCGAGAATGGGCTTGCACTTGATCATGTGATCGGGCGCCTCGTACAGCGTGCAATCCTCGAATCGCTGGCGCAATATATTCACAATCTCGTTGTCCACCATGCGATCCCGGCGGAACTGCTGGTCAGCCTCGAAGCGGCAGACGGCATCGTCCGTGTAGCACTGATCGATGGTCGGCACACGTTGGAAGCGCTGGTGGTACCAGTTGTACTTCTCCTGGTTTGGTTCCACGATGGTTTCTGCAACAATTCCGACAGTTTAAAGCCGTGTAAACAAAAACATTGGCCTTCCGCCTTTGAGGTTATGTCATTATGTAATGGGAAGTGTTTTTCCAAGTTCTTTCATTTGGGACACTATCTGTCGTGCAGTAGCTCCATTTGCGTTTGCAACGAAGTGTCTTCCGAGTCCTGGACTTACCACGGAACCACGTAATTGGTCCATCGATGATATTCTGCACCGATTGGGCGAAGCTGGCCATGGGGCTGCGCGGCTCCGGCATTTTCTAGCTTCTGGTAATTCTGCAAGGGCATGAAAAGCTTATTAGATTGTCGATTATCCTTCAATGATGTTTTGTTTTATTAAATTTGCTTCAAAAACCTTATTTTCCTAAAAATATTCAAAATTTCGCTTCAAGTATGACAGCAGGTGAGCAAAACGAAAAATACCAAAGCAGCTGGCCCACATCGTAAGTTGCCCACTATCGATATAAATGATAATTTCATTTAATCAGTTTTTACACAATGTAGATGAAATGTAGCATATGTGTAGCTACCATAACGGTACATGCCCCGGTTTTTACTTACTTTTGCGTTTTTTTAAGCCAAAAGTTATCGTTATACAGGCGTGCTCCTGTTTTCATTTTCGCAAAATATGTCCGAGCTATATTTTTCCTTTTGCAATTAAGTTTCGCTTTTTTGTTTCAAATCAGTTTTCCGTTTTCCGAATGCGGGAGCACCCAACATTCCGATATAAATCTGTGGATTCCGCACGTGTTGCTGGATACACACTCCAGGAAAACGTAAACGAAAAATTCCTTCCACGGTTTTTTTATATGGAGTTTGACAGGAATTTTTCGATTTCGCGGTGCTGGATACTATGCTGAAAGTGAAAACCGAAGCCCGCCTGATTATATACATTTCGGGATATTTTGACGTTGAAATTGATTTCACGGTATAGTAACGGTATATCGGCCTATAACAGAATATTTAATCTATTTCATCAATTGAATATAGCATTTTTAAAGGTATAGTAACGAACAGAGCATATTTATAAAATAACAGTATGTTACCGCCAAATCGTTTCAACTATCGATATTGGAGCTCGTACATGACATGCAAAAATGAGTCGAAACAAAAATCACCTTAGGTCCCTCAATTTCATTGGTGGAAAAAAACAAAAAATGGGGTGGATTTTACCTTGCATGCATTGTATTTTCTGGGCCGTTTTGCCTGTCGTGCATACCTCTTTTTTAACGTATAACTTTCAGTTAGGAAACTTTCGGAAATTTTGTCGTTTGGCTCGGACGTGTAGCGCGCGCGTTCGTCTCTCAGTGTCAGTGTGTGTGCGAAGAAAATGTAAAAAAGATCGCACGTGCGAAAAAGAGAGGAAAGAAAATAAAGTAAAACAACAAAGGCGCCGCATGCAAAACAAATATTTAATAACGAGAAATGCAAAAATAAGATGCAACAAATGCAAAGCGAGAGAAAAGCAAAAGGTTTATAAATAGTGCACAAAAACAAAGCGGCTACGGAAATTTCGGCGGCACAATAAGAATTTGTCGCGTCGCCCGCCGTCTGGGGTCACCGCCGCATCACCATCCCCCCACCCAATCCGTGCGTTTGCGTTTTCGTGCGTGTTTGTGGTGTGTGTGTGTGTGTGTGTGTGTCCGCCGACTGTGCTCGTGTGTGTGTCCGTGTGTGCAAAAGTATGAAAATTTAATAATTAAGAAATTGCGCCGAAAATTTAATTTACCGCAAAATATCCAAATAATAAGAGAAAATACCCAGAGGGGTAGAAATATTTTCCCTCCCAAAAAAAAAGCGGACATACGTTTATTCCCGCCTTTCGATATGCTGCGGCAAAATTATGAATGCAAAAAAGCTGCAACAAAGTGAAGTAAATCCCAAACCCAATCAACAAATGTGCCAAATTGTTAGCAAATATTAAAGTTTAAAGAGAGAGTGCACGAAAATGTGGTCCCACTGAGGCCGCCCCTGAAGAGATCACCCCCTTTAAGGATACAGAACATGACCGAATACGTGACGCCAAATATCAGCAGCGTGCTGAAGAAATACCAGACGAGTGCCACAAAGAGTCTCCAAGGACCCGGCCATGCCCTTGCCGTGTCAGCAGCCGCGGCGGTAGCAGCAGCAGGGGTCGGCGGCTGTCCTTCACTGGAGGTGGCGTCCACCAACGGTGGAGTTGGAAACCGCAGCGAGAGTCCAAGTTGCGGGGGCAAGGTGCAGCAGCCGTCTTCGCCCGGAATTCCACTCATCAAGAAGGAGATTCTCAGCTCCCCGGAGCCGCACGAGCTGCAGCACCACCATCGGGAGGCAGCATCGCCACAGATTTATGCCACGCCTGCCACACCCCCGAGGGAGCTCTCGCAACCGATCCTCTCTGTGGCAGATGCCGGCTGTGGGGAGCTGTACGAGACGCGGCTGGAGGGCAAGACCATTGGATGTTTCTCGGTGGGCGGAGAAATGCGGCTGTGCCTGCCGCAGTTCCTCAACAATGTGCTGAACGACTTCTCGCTGGAGCAGATCAATCGGATCTTCGACGAACTGGGTATCTACTGCTCCCAGTGCACCCCCGACCAGCTCGTGGAGTTCAAGGCCGCCAAGATTCTGCCCTCCGATGTGAAGGCCAGCGGATTGATTACCCGCACCGATGCGGAGCGCCTCTGTGCCGCATTGTTGCACCGCTCCGATCGCAACAGCTACATCCCTATCGAGAGCCTGGCCAAGGGCGCCCTCAGCTTCCACGTGTACCACAAATGTTTTGGCAAGTGCGAGGGGATCTGCACTCCGGAGATGTACTCCTACCAGAAACCCACATGCATCAAATGCCTCGAGTGCGATGGGTGGTTTTCGCCCCAGAAGTTTGTGGGGCATGTGCATCGGAAGTTCGAGAATCAGACCTGCCACTGGGGCTTCGATTCCCGCAACTGGCACGACTACCTACACGTGGCGCTCGATGTGGAAAATCGCGAAAAGTACCAGATAATCCTCGATCAGCTGAAAGAAGTGGAGCTCAAGGAAATGCACAAGGCGCAGCTCGAAATGGATCACAAGAAACGAAAGGTAAGGTTTTAAAATTATTTTGGTGGGGACTTTGGGGAAATCTCCAAGAAATCAGATTTTGTGGATATAGTAGACAATTTAATCACCTAATCACCGTCCCATTCATAATTCATAACATCCTGAAAGTTCAAAATTCGTTCTAGAAAAAAAGTTACAATCCATACTTCTGTGAATCAAAGCGATTCTCATTGCTGGACTGACATTTCTTTAGGAAAAGCATTAGACTCTTGTGGAATCCAATAAATTTTTAATCTATTTTCCTATGAAATTCTATAAATTTGTGAAATTTTCTGATATGACATGTACATATGTATGTACATATGTTGTTTGATTAAAGAGGGAATTTCCCAAATGACTCATAAATCACGATTGAATTGAATCCTTAAATAACCCTTATTATCACTCCAATAATCATACTTTATACTCCTTGCTCTCTTGAATGGTGCTTTCTATCTGTCTCTCTTTCTATCCCTCTAGTGCTCCCCCTTGCACAATTTCGGCAACAAAAATGCGTATGAGAATGTCTCATCCCAAACCCAATCCCACTGCACTACCATTTCCCATATGGAAGCTCACTTTCAAACGCGATCGGAACACAAAAAAGCAGAAACAACAATTCTCGTGAAGCCAGAGACAGGCGCCGTCAAAAGTCGCTTCACACCTTTGGCCACTGTGTCCCCATATTTGGCATTGTTGCTTCTGTCCCTACTGCTGCTTCTGCCGCTTCTGCCGCTGACAGCGATTGATACTTGTACTTCTGCCATTCCTCCATTTCGCATTCTCGATTCTCATTAAATTCTATCTTTTTTAACGACATTTGTTGCCGACCGATCGTTGAAAGCTCATAAAATGTATAATACAAGCAAAATAGCTTTATGCGATATTTCGACTATGGGTATGGATATGGATAGATACCCGAAACGAAGATACAAAGTGCGAGAATTGTGTGTGCACTACGTAGTATATGCGTTCATTGGTATTCAAAAAGGTGGAAACTATTCAAGCGACACTCTCCACTTGTATTAAATCGTTCATCTGGTGTTTCTGCTCTCAGTTTTTTTTTCTAGCAAATTGATTACCAAATTCGTAATACCCTCTCACAGAAGGGTATCAGAAATGCTCACTGAGAGAAGCTGGGCAACATTTTAGGTTTTATTATAAATTTATTGAAAAAGGCATAATTATTATTATTTAAATGCAGCTGCACTTTATAGCGCATTCTCTCTCTCTCTTTCTGTTCCCCTCCCTCCCCCATTCATGTTATACAATTTTTTGCTGCTTTTTTTTGGTAGGCCAATGATGGCGTTTTTTTCCAACTTTTTGGTCGTTTTTTTGTTGGTTGGATTATTTATTTAAACTACTTAATTTTCTGCTTAAACAGCGCTCACAAAATATTTCCATACAAAAAACAATAAATAATACAATTTATGAAATTCTTTTACTCTTTTTTGTTGCTGCTGCTGCCAAAGCGTCTGCTGGCAGTGTCGTTGGCGACCGTGGCGGCCTGGCCAAAAACGCCGACGACAAGTTGTCTCTGCCGACGTCTGTTTGCAGCAGCGCAGTCAGCGTTGGCGCAACGCAACGGCAATTTGAGCTTATTTTTAGCTTTTCGCTCAATTTATTGCAGTACACACCACCCCTCCTCCCCCTTCTCCACTCATCAGGCCACTGTTTTTGAAGCCTTTCGATTTTTTTCGTATATTGTGTGCATGCGAGAGTGTGCATGTGTTTGTTGAAAATCCACTTCAAAAAGCTTCAATGTTAAACAAGAATGAAGGGACATAGAAGCCTCAGGGAATCGATGATTTAAATACCCTTGAAAGAGTCATTGCTCCTATGAGAGCTTAATAGAGAGAATAATTTATTATTAATACATACATATATGTTGTATTAGTTCTTAGTTCCTCAACTGATTCTCACAAATGTTTTGCATAAATTGAGAAGAAGACGTTGTGCTTCCTTCACTGCATGACAAACCTTTTATCAGAGTAAAAAGATCTCTCTTCAAAAAGGGTAACAAAAATATTCAGCAAATAATAATAATGAGCCAAAACGAGAGGAGGAATACGACTATGAAGGGTAGGGCAGGGGGAGAAGCGGCGGCACACAGCAACAAAAACAAATCGCAAACCGGTTGCCAACATTGTCTGCCGTCTGCTGCTGCTGTACTTTGTCGGGGACTCTGACTGGGGTCTGGGGCCCTGCCTTGTCTTGTTATGGGATGTATTTCTGTCTGGCGCTGCGTCGCTGGGACGCGGCGTCCCAAAGTCCACTCCATTGCCATTCCATCCCCCGCCCCCTCCAAATCATACCTGAAAAGTGGATGGTAGGGTTGGGGGGAAATCGTATCAAAGTCGCTGCGCAGTCTCAGAAAAAAATAACAAAACAAACGTCTTGCGGCATTTTTGTTGCGCAAAAGAAGAAAACAGTAGAACAAGAAGAGGAATTATAGGAGGAGGAGGATGGTGGGAGGGGGTAGAACGAACAAACAATATTATATAAAGATGAAGAAACAACAAATATAATCATAACAAAATAAAAAGAGGGAAAGGCAGATATATAAGTGGGAGATTTCAGTGATTCCAGTCAGTTAAAATGCACTAACTAATTAAAGTATTTTGTATTCTTGGAAGCTCCCAAGATGTTGACATTTGATAAAATGTAATCATATATTTTTATTTCTCCTACTGTATACCGTATTCCTATTTAGTGCATCTGATCGGAGAATATTCTTTATTCGTAGCTGCTAGCAGAACAAAACAAAAGCAGAACCCCTTTTGGGATCTATCCCTTACATAATCACTGTTTAAGTCCCCTCCAAAAATGGACTTTGTCACTCCATTTCCAGAATTCAAGCCACAAAGCTTTGGAATTTCATGTTTTAAAACTTTAGTTGTTTCGTTTCGTTGTTTTTTTTGTTTTGGTGTAGCTCTTTTTTGGCATCAACAGGTATTTTATTTTGTGTTTTGATTGGATTTGTTATGGGTATACTCTTGATAAAGAGGGTGTTGTTGTTTTTGTTAAGAGGTTTGTGACGGGTAGGAAGCAAGATCTGCGAAGAAGAAGAAGCTCTCGATTATTGATATATTATTTCTGAGTCTCAAAGCTTTTATACCCAGTACCTCAGTTCCTTACTCAGCAATAGATATGTACATGCATGCATATATCGTAAAATTACTGGGAGCTTTCCTCTCTCCAAAATCGGAAGAGCATCAAAAATTCTTAAAATTTTTGCGGTATTTTTCCGATTTGATTTTTGGTCTTTCAACTCGCTTATCGCTCATAAAATTTCCAAACTTATGCTAATATCTTTCAAAATACTTTGGCCACTGGCTTTTGTGGCTTCTGCTGCTGCCATTTTTCTTGTTTTTCTGGTTCGAAATCCATTGCACAGCACGTTTCTGCTTCTCAGATCTCTCTCCGATAGACTCCGATAAAAAGCTCTCCTCCTAGCAAGAAGTATTGCTCTTAAGTCTCGGGTGCTTATCAACCAAATTTTCGGCTCTCGCTGATAAGCTTTCCGCTCTGTTGGCCACGTTTTGGGTTTTGAAAAAAGGTAATAATCCAGCGAAAAATCAACCCAAACATCGAGTCAGGGCTATGTGATTATTTCTTTCTTTTCGTTTTTTCTAATCTGTGAAACGATTAAAATAAAGTTTAGCATTGATAAGAAATTATTGTACTCGTACATGTGGCGGATTGTAATATTTTATGATCTCTCATACGCCATACGACTTCTTATGTAAAGTATGGGAAATTATTAACCAATTTAATGGTTAATTTCGAATTAGGAATGGCATTAAGATTCCAGACAGATCTCTCTGGTCTCTTAGGTCATCTGCTAATTGATGTTTCATGATTAATTAGTTGAGAAATGGAAATATCTGGAATAAATTAGACGGAGGACACGGTCTCTAATAATGTTATACGCTTACGCTTACGTATTCGTATTATTTTTATTATTAAATGGGAGTTTTCTGTTTTATGACGAAATATATCTATCCAGAGGTTATCCAACCATATTTTTCTCGGATTGGAGATTGATTTCCGATAGGTATTAGAATCTAGACTAAATCTTTCATTTCCGAAACTGTATTGATATCTTTCGATTTTTTGATTCATATATTTCCCGATTTCTATATTTATTCACAAAATCCCTTTCCAAAGACTAATCGTTTAATCAATTTTTTAAGCATACTTCTTTTATTTTTTCTCAGTACATAGTTTCAAATTTATCTAAAACAGTTTTATTCTTATAGGGTTATGGCTCAACAATTTGCATATCCCTTATAGGATTCTTAACCCCACAAATCATCTTAAGTAATTGTATCTTAAATCAGCAGAAAAACACGAAGTCTTTAACCCTGATGGATCTGTATTATCTTTCCACATATCCATGCACTATATGTATAAACCCTCAGAGGAGGGGGGTTTTTTTTTTTTGCATTTTTCAGTCTGTGGCGACCCCGTCACTACTTCTCCTACTCCACTCCTTTCTCCGTTAGCTGCTTACTCCTCCCCCTGTTCATCTAGTTCTGCTTATTCTACTACTTATTTTCTTCCTCTGCTTCTCCCCCTCCTCAGTTAACGATTTGATAAGCACGATAAGCAGTCCAGTTAGCCTTCCATCCCTCTTCTCCCTCTCTCTGTTTGGTACACCTATCTCGCTCACTCATTCGATTGGCTTGTAGGCAAGTCTCGAGACCGATCTCTAGCCACCTTCTGCCTGCTTGCCCCCACGGGTCCCACCCAACATGTCATGTGATGTCCATCCCGTTCGTTCTTTTTTTGCTGAATCTCCCCTGCTCTTCTTGTTCTATCTCCCTCTATATATTTTTTCTATATTTTTTATATTATTATTAGCAAAAAACTTAAGACACACGACAAGACACAAGACAAAAGGAGGTTGGAGGAGGAGGGTAAAAAGAAATTTTTTTTTTCCGAAAGGTGCGCGGCCTCGACGAGACATCTATCGCGAAGAAGAGGGATCTAGAGGTAAG